CAAGCATGAGAGTCCCGGACACTTTCTGGCCCGGTGATGAATCACTTACAATGAACATGTCAGGCAACCATGAAGGTTCACATTATTCATCAGAAACTTCTATTTCTGATTGCAGCAATAGGATTCTTTTTCCCACTTCAAGCAATGAAAGCTACTACTTGAGTAGTGATTCTCACCCCATGCTGGTGACAAGCAATAGTTCCATGTCTATTGATTTTGGTTCTGGGGATGGGATCAGAAACCTCAATTCCTATCTGATTGAAGTAAATGATCAATGCTTGAACCAAGAACCAAGTGAGGGAAATGCAGAAGAGTATGGTGGCAACCAGCCTGAAGCTGTGGCTCTGGGGAAGAGGAAATATGATATGACAGTACAAGAACCAGCCATGGATGATAAAAGTAACCCCTCCAAGAATTCTATGAAAGGAACTCAAATTTCAGAAAATGTGAGTAGATGCATAAGCATATTTTTCTTATCCTTCACTCAAACTTTTTACTTGGTTATAGAGTGTTTATGTTCTTTCTCTGATCATAAATTCAATGTGGGTTCAGATGAATAAGAGGAACATAAAGTCAAAGAAGAGCCTGCAGATCATAACTAGCAACAATGAAGAAGATGGCAATGCTGGCCCCAACAGACAGAGCTCAAGTAGTTGCTGCTCAGGAGATGACTCCAATATTGCTTTACATTCCCATGAGAATTCTCAGGAGCAGAGTCCAGGTAGTGCTTCGACGTCAAGCTTGAGTCCGAAAGAGGCTTCAGCTCTCAACTTGAGTGGAAAATCAAGAGCTAGAAGGGGGTCAGCCATTGATCCCCAAAGCCTCTATGCAAGGGTAAGTTCCTATAGGCTACAGATCCTGCTTGTTGCCTGTCTTAACCATGTAACAAATTTGTTCCCTATAGATATGAAAAATAAACTAATTTTTCTATCCTTTTTGTGTTGCAGAAAAGAAGAGAGAAAATAAATGAGAGGCTGAGAGTTCTGCAGAACCTTGTCCCCAATGGAACAAAGGTAGGCAGTATGCCTTGTGAAACAATCTTCTTTTCCCAAGAGGTTGATGCAAAATTCTCAAATTTATCTATTTGGAATTGCAGGTTGATATTAGTACAATGCTTGAGGAAGCTGTCCATTATGTGAAGTTCTTACAGCTCCAAATTAAGGTAATAACCAAGAAAATTAACCCATGATGAGCAATAAGTTTTCGAATGTTCCAATCGAAACCTACATATCTGAAAATCGGTTGCTGATATTGATGTTTCCCCCCCTTGTTTGATCATTTGTAGCTGTTAAGCTCTGATGATATGTGGATGTATGCTCCCATCTGTTACAATGGAATGGACCTGGGACTTGATCTGAAGCTCACCTCACCAAAGCAATCATAGAAAGAAAACATGCTTTGGAACCCAAATATTTTCTCAACTCTCAAATTATGCAAGAAAGTTGAGAAAAATGTTGGTAAAAAGTTTTTAGGTTCTGCAGCATTTTCCATAAATTCTTTTTATAATGTAACAAACAGACATGACTCTGCTGTGAGCTCCACAACCAAAATTATTCTCCAATTTACTAATTTTGGGTTGAGTGGTTTGAGCATGTGGTGTATTATCTCATACATGGGATGAGATGATTGATTTGACATACTAAATATTCTGCAGTTGATATTCTTGTACTTCAGAAGGAATATTGATGAATAAACATGATGTTTGGATAAACATTTTTTTAATGGAAGTTTCCAATGTGACTGAATATAAGATACTGTGCTGAGATTTGTCAAATCCAATCCAGTAAGGACAAATGTTGTGTGGTTCATTGACGTGTCATTGCCAATCCGCAAACACACCCCATGTTCTAACATATTTCGTGAGAATTCTGTGTTATTGAGATCTCACATTCACATCCAGACTTCTCCTCAAATCATCATGCATTGCAATTTCTATTGCTTGTAAATGCTCTTGTTCTTAATTTTCCGTAGTATATGTCCCTATCCAGTTTTCGATGAAACAAACTATACCTACAAAAGGATATCAACATGACCAATATGATCAACAAAATTGATCGAATTGATGATTACCCGTATAAAGATTTTAGCACTTTCACGTTTAATAATGTATTATACATGTACGCACGTATTTCTCACGTTTAATTCACATATTTTTTACAAACATTTCAATAAGACACAAAATTCATGTATTGTACACATATTATTGAATAAAAATAATATATACATTTTTTAAAATGGTATAGCCGCCGCCCCGGTATACTCAGTTTTTTCCTAATTATTTTTTTAAAAAATAGTATAGCCGTTCGGCTACTCCTTTTTTCTAAATTTTTTTAAAAATAGTATAGCCGGACGGCTATACTGCTTTCTAAGTTTGTAAAAAACAGTACAGCCGTCCGGCTTTACTGTTTCGACACATGGCACCTAGGTGCTGTTCGAGTCTTTTTTTAATATATATAAATAGTATTGCCGTGCGGCTATACTGTTTAATGATTATTTAATATCAAAGAACAAAAAACAAAGTCCACAAAATAATTCAAAACAATTAATTACTATTTACCAAATAATTTACAAAATCAGTAAAATATTTAAATATTCACGAAAGAAATAATAATTAAAACATAATTACTAATTAAAGTAATTAAAAAAATGTTAAGGTATTACTTAATTACATGTATTAAATTAAAGAATTTGGCCAAAAAAAAAGTAAAGAATAAAAATTTAAAAATAAAAAAGCAAACCAACCTCTCCCGACGAAGTGTACCTCTACCGACGAAATTCCGTCGGGAGAAACCTAATCCGGCAAACCTTTGTCTTCAGGAGAGGTTTTAAAAATAAATAAATATAAACTTAGTATCTTTAGGTCAATAATTTTTTATTATTTTTTTTTAAATTTTCTTTTCAGTAATTAAATAATATCTTAGCCTCATTTAATTACTTTCATTAGTAAATATGTTCTAACTATCATTTTGTTAGACACCCTTATGTAAACTTAATTGATATGATGAGGATGGTAAATGGAAAAGTATAGAGTGCATGAGAATTTGTAGATCAATTACCTATTGTACAACTATTTTCTTTCTGTTCGATATTTGTGTAATATCCCATACATAGGATGATTAATTTGACATACTTCAGAATGAATGATGATGTTGAATAATCATTTTTCTAGTGGAATTCTCCAATGGGTTCCAGTCCTACTTGGTTGTTCGTGAGTTTTTTCCCTATATATTTTAAGATTTCTTGCCTTTTTATTTATGAATTCTGAATTTTGAATTTTGTTTACTTGTTTCTGAGATTTCTTCTATATTTTTGGGTGATTTCTATAGATTTAGGATTTTCCTGCCATATGTTTGTAGGGCCTTTAATGCTTTGCTTAAGGCTCCCCAAAACTTCCAGATCGACTATGCTCATTTCATTATTCATTTTATGCGAGTAAGACTCATTGGTAAAAAAATGATATTGGAGGAACGGAGAATTGAACCTATGACCTAGCACGCATGGACATTGGCAAAATGTGCTTGCAAAATACTTCAGTTGAAATTTATCAATGTAACAATCCCTAAGAATAATTTTTAGTTTTACAATTTCCAATGATTATATTATCACATCTCTTACATTACTATTTTATTTTTATTTATCATCATAAATATTTTGTACAAATAAATTTTCTTTAATGAAAAGGATCCTAGAAAAATACATCTATATAAAGTAAATTGATTTCTAACACCTACCACATATATGAGGAAAAACACAAGTATTTGAATAGTTATGTATGATAATAAGGCCTTTTTTTGGTATTTTGAATGTTTCACCATTCTTTGCTTTTTGCTTTATATATATAGATTTGTTTAAATTGATGTGTCGGGTCCAATCCAGTAATAACATTTGTCGATGAAAATAAGTAACTTTGCGTGTTAGTCCCTATCCAAATGTGACAGTCGTCTAAAAGTGACACAAAGACAAGTATTTTTTGTGGAACATTGACGTGTCATTTCCAATCCGCAAACGCCACATTTTCTAAATATATTCCGTTGTAATTCTATGTAAACAAGGTGCTATTCAAGTCTCACATTCATGTACACTTTTCCTGAAGTCATTGTTCTTTGCTTTTATATCATGTCTCTATTCAAACCTTTATTTTTGACCAAATACTACCTACAAAATGTAGAAAGATTACATATATGATTGACAAAATCGATCAAATCCATGATTTACCACACAGCCGCAGCCTCGATCACTTCTCATGGTATGCGTTGCCTGAAATGGTTAACACAGCACATGGTAGCACCCATTTCCTACGTGGTTGTAGGAGATAGCCCTCCTATTCTTGCCTTGCGCTTCACTTGGCAACCATATGGACATGAACCATACGTACACGACCACACGGACATGAAGCATGTTTGGTTAGCATTTACATCGTTCTATCTCAGTTTTTGTATCATGGATGAAGAATAAATATGGATGTGGAGAACAATCCTAACACATACAGGTAGCAATTGGTAAACGGCTTCTTCTATTTTGGAGTGTCTATTTATCACAGTGAACTACAAAACAGCAAGCAACGGCCATTACATTCACTCTAAATAAAATTTCAAGCGGCCATGCTTAAAACAACATTTGTTTTGTGCAAATAATATACCTTTAATTCTCCTTAGATCAGTAAGGTATAAATATGACATGAAGTCAGTCTCATCTTACAGGCAAACGTAAATTACAGAATAAATTTAAATCTGAGGAAAAGATTTCTGAGACTTTAGGATGGGAAGAGAGTTGTTTGCTACTACATCTAAAACTCCTTGCAATCTACCTTACTCCAAGGGATAGGCATGCTACAGTCCTAAAAAAACAAGTCATTCTAATCTGCATTCATTTACAATCCAACATGACGTAGAGTATAAAAGATCGGGCTCAAAATTCGAGACTGAAAATCAAAAGACCTATAACAATCCGTATCCATGCTGCATCACATAAAATCCTCAACGTAATGGGGGTTTCCGTTTTCACGCTCGTTCATCATTCACATGATTTGGAACTTCAGCTTGACTGTCCAGAGGCATATATTGTGCCATTATAGCTCTTATTTCTGAATCCATATATGACTGCAAAGGAACACAGAAAGTATCAACAACCTGAAAAGGATATATAAAAAAGACAGAAAAGATTTGTGTCCTAATAAAATCATGTTCCAAATAAAGCAGTTCGCATAGGTTAAAAGCCGATTCAAAGACTAATAAATGCAATGTAAAGCAGAGCACATACTAAGACCAACCTAACAGTCTTTAAACCTTGAAGGGTTCAACACACACCATAGTTAAAGACACTAGGAAGATTTTTTGTCAATTTTGACAAAAAAGCTTCCCACATACAAGAGTTCCCGTGTATACAGACAAATTTGTTCCATAGGCTTGGTTACTTTTGGAGTTTCTTTAACACAGATAATTCCAAGGCAAGATAACCTTATTTGCCTGCCAATAGGTTGGGGTCAACACCACAGTCAATATGCAGGCCTGGCCCATAGCAAGAAATGGTTCTACAGTTCTACTGTACTTCACCATGACGTATGGGAATGTTCTAGGTTTACATATTCAAAAATCAAAGCCAATGAAGTGCAAGAGGTAATCTTTGCACAGCAGAGTATCATCTGATGCATTCAATAAAAGCAATTTTATCAACCTCAGGAAAACAGCCACCAATATCACCACCACAAAATGGAGACTCCAGAATTACCAATGATATATGAAATTTGCAAAAGAGAAATAAAGCACAGAAAGCTCACCCGCAATCTATATTTGTACACAAGATATGCCCCACCACCAGCCATAGCCAAGCCTATCAAAATAACCCACACAGCAGCCCATGCAGACTTTCCCCCACTAGCAGCCTTACCTGCACATTACCAAGGAGAGCACATCGAAATAAGCACTTGCATTATATATTTAGGACATGTAAAGTTGAGTTAAAAGCTTGAGTTTCTGGACTCACTTATGCAGGTATCATGGTCCTTGATATACAGAAGATTCCCACTACACGAGCAGTCATAGCTCCCCCAGGTATTTTTACAGCTACATTCAGGGCACTGGCAAGCTTTCTTCTCTTTGCATTCATCAACATCTAAGAAGAAAAAGAAAAAAGGTTTAGCAACATTTAGGTCCAAGATATTTCTTTGCAAACGTTTTTTTCTTTCTAATTTGATCCAACAAGAGTTTTGTTTTGTCCTAATTAGGGACTAAAAAACATGACATGTACCAAGCCAAAAGAAAAAATGAACCAACCACACCCCGTTACTTTTTCTTTTTATTTCAAGAAATAAGTCAGATAGTCATGACGTATCCATGGGATCATGATGGTCTTCTTTAACATTGGCTGATTTCATGAAGAGCAAGGTTAAGAAGTTCAGCATGGTACGAAGCCTTTAGATTGGTCTCCAGTTCACCGCATAAATGCATACAAAAAATTGAATTTGACCATTCAGATCTGAGTGGGATACTCGCTCAACATGGATCATCCACAATGATTCAGATAAAGCTAAACTTCACTGACCTAAATGAGACATGAAGGGTTAAATGATTTCCACCAGGTCCAGGTGTAACTTAACCAGTAGGGTGCAAACCCACTCAACGAGAGGCTTTAAAACATAGCTTGTAGATTCATTCTCAATGATTTGAAACTTAAACACCAAAGGAATACATAGAGGTGTGAATATACATACAATCCTAGGGGCTTGATTCCTGTGACCCAAACATTCTTTGGTTGTACATATTGGTGCAGTTCCTATTGAGTCCCATTACTTTCTATTCCGGCAAGGCCATATTTTCCAGTTAAACATGAAGCTAGAGAAAGATACGTTAGCAGATCTATTCATGCAAACTCATGTGCAAGCACACCATTTAGCAAGGTCAAGTACTCCTTGTGGCATATGCCTTGATGCACCACTGTGATCAAAGTGGTCTGAACTTAAGCTTTTTAGACATCAATCCATTAGTGGACTTATGTTGTATTACAGTGAAAACAAACAACAGAACACGCCCAGACCTTAATTTCTAGTAACTAGAGCTTTTTTCACATACATTGTGTATTACAGTAAAGCTGAAAACCAACAGGACACACCAAAGCGGTAATTTCTCTTACCTTCACAACTTTTGACACCATCACCTTTAAACCCAGGAGGACACTGACATTGGACCTCTCCAGTATCCTGCTCAGAAAAATAACCCGACTTATAACTAAATGTTTTGATAGGACTCTCAAAACTAAAGTTATTTCCTGAGAGCATAATTTATTTTTAACAGAATGGGAATACAAAAAAACCACTTACTGTGCAAGCAGAGAATGCATGCCCATCTTGAGCTTTATGCCAACAACCTCCATTGTTTACCTTGCACCTCCCAGGCCCACTTGCTGGAAATTTAAGGTAAATTCCTCAATAAAAAGTGAAGAATAAGGAAAAATGTTTGCAAAAAGGAAGAATCTGAGCTATTCTTTGATTATAATGAAGAAGAATAACAAAATAAATTTTTGGGAAGATTTACATTGATTTGGAGCACATATAGATATTTTATCTTTAGAAAAATTGAAGTTTGCAAAATGCAAATACAGACCAAAGATCCTTGCACACTAAACCTAGATAAGACCTTTTGGCTAATTGAATATAAAAGTCAGTATCCACAATTTTTATTCCCTCAACTTTGTTTTCCCTAGTTAATGTCATGTCTGTTTTAGCACAAACAAAAAGCAGAAGTTTTATATATTTTTTACCTTCACAGGTAGTGTAACCATCTCCTTTAAATTGCACACCATCAACCAGAGGGCACTCACATACCCTCCCACGAAATGTATCCTAAGTAAACAAACCAAAGTCACAAAGAACAAGAGTTAATATACTCAATTTTCTCATTTTTCAAAAGACTCATTAGCCAGTAAGTTACAATTTGTACCTTGCAGGCTGTGAGGTTGGCTGCTTTATTCTGCCAGCAACCACCATTATTATCCAAGCACTCATTTGTCTCCACATCTACCATGAGTAAATAGCAATGCATAACTTAAGTTCAGAATGAATAAATCAGAAAGAGATAAGAAACACAAGAATAACAAGAGGAGCTCACTTACCACTACTCAAACAAACAGCTGGCTCAGTAGTTTCCTCGAAACCAGAACAGATAGCCTTCAGAACTGCACCCTTCTCCAACTTTCCTGCAAGCAAATATTTTAGTGAGGGAAACTTCCAGATTGTTATCTAAGAAATATAAGAACAGGAACAAGGCAAACCTCGGTATTGTCGATTATTGACAACAAGAGTAGGCAATATGGTTACATCACCTCTTGATCCTTTCCCAACCTGCAAAGAGCGTTCTTGTCAAGCAAGAGGACATATATAGAACGAAAATGCATTGAATAGAGACAAATACCTGAGCATCTTGCTCTTCTTTCAGAACAGAATTTTCAGAGTCTGCTGTAGGGTCTCCCATACACTGCTCAACCTTCTTAACATCAAGGCCTGAAAATATGTCACATATATATTTAAAATGAAGGCCACACTAACTAACCATTAATATTCTTAGAAACATTAGATGCAATATCTAATCATTTACCAAGAGATTTAATGACACTGTCAGCACAGTCCTTGTTGTACTTTTTCTCCTTCATGGGACATCTAATTTGAAAATCAGTTACATAGTCCCACCATACCCAAGGCTTGTTGGTCTTATTCACCACTTTAAAAACACATAGCTGCCTTAAATTTTCAAGAACCACATCTTTCCCTTCATAACCAGTGCTGAAGTCCTGTTCAGGATCGGGAGCACAATATCTTCCATGATTGATACACTGGGACTTGCACTGTTTGCTTAAGGTGAATGCCTGAGGACAGTACCAAGTTATATAATGAGGTGTGAACTGAGTGTAACCACCTATTTCAAGTATCTGTGCTGCACCCCTAAAATCCTTCATAAATTCCATCAACATGTCACATTTAACCCCACATTCATCATTGCTGTTGGTCCATAGTTCATATTCCACACGATCATCTGGGTGTGGAACAGCTTCTCTCCAGTCAAGATTCACATTGACCATATCACCAGAACTGATTGATTTCTTTAAAGTTTGCCCAAAACTTTTTTCAATGAGTGCAGATGGTATTGTTATGTTTTCAATGTATTTGGCAGTTGAACCATCCTCTTCCGGTGAGTCCATGGTTATTAATGCCTCCTCAATATTATCAGCGACAAGAACTGCAGAAGCCCCAGCCTTCTGGGCATTCCAAACCTTCAAGGCAAAGAAGCAATCTGGAAAGCACAAACAACAGTTTCAACACAAGCAATGCTGAAAAAACTCAGACAAATAAGCAATACTAGAAAGTATCTTGTAGGGACCTGTTAAGGGGGGTACTAGTTTTCTTCCCCTCCCAACAACCCCAAAAGTTCTGTCCGACTCCGCTTTAATTTTTTCTACGACTAATGCAGAGATTTGAGAGAATGAGATTTCTGTATTGTTGACTTTTTAATATTTCAAAAATATCCCCAATTAATATTCTCTCTCCCCTTCTTTCTTGCCTATCCAAACAAGACTTAGTTAAATTCAAAATATTTCTCTTTTGTCATCTCTTCTTTTCTCTCATATATGTTTCCTTCTCTTCACTCCTAGCTAAAATTGCTAAACACACTAGCATTTTCCTAATAATTAAGAAGACATTACATCCATATAAGCCTGAAAAATTTAAAAGCAGGAATCTAGATTCAAAATAACATTAGGGCGTTTCCTCAGTGACTGCCAACACTAACTACGACTCTAAACTGCTAACAAGACGCAAATTAAGCAGATTTATAAAATGACTGTCTGTACAATCAATCAAAGAAGAGCTAAACAAGGCAAATTGACTAGACTTACCAAAAATGGCATCTCCACAATCGACCCAAAAAGGGGCCTATTGAAGCTCAAAATTTACAATATCAAACTACTCACGACTACAAAAAAGCAGACCCAAAATGAACTAAAACACATCAATTGAACTTTAAACCTCATATTGACATTCAAGTTACTCTGCAAAAAGGGTAACTCCTAAATTAACAAAACAAACAAATTGAACCTCAAAACTCATAGTACTCATCAAATTGTTCAAAACTACAAAAAGGGTACCTCCCAAATTAACAAAAACAATCAAATTGAACCTCAAAACTCATTACAATGATCAAACTACTCGAAAGAAAAGAATGGGTACCTCCTCGATCGACCAAAACGAACGTTGGGAGAGCTCCAGGAGTCGATTTAAACGAAATCCCAAATTCAGAGAATTCCTTGCAGCCCTTCTGATTCTCTTTTGGATACAGCACAGCACCCGCCATGCTGCCTCCGTACTGAGGAATCCCAAAGTTCCCAATGGCACTGTCATATGTGCCTTTGATTTTATCTGGAGATGTGACCCTCAAGCTGTTCTTCTCCACCACAAATCTCGCACTCGATAACGGGGTCAAAGACAGCACCAGAAACCCTAGAAGAAGTCCCAGAAATGATCTCTGATGCTCCATTTCAGAAGACAGTAGAGAAAGAGACGGAGAGAAAGCAGATGGGATTTTATAATCAAATTCACTGAACACTTTTTTTTACTTTTCCATAATTTGTTGGGCTTATGATTTTCTTTCAGAAAAACCCAAAAAGAAATTTAACCAAAAAAAAACACTGGGTTGCTGTTGTTTGATGTTGTTGGATTGATGGGAAGTTTGTCTTTGAGGATAGGCTATGGTTCTGATTCTAAATACGAAGGTGTGACACTCTGAGAACTTGGAAGCAAAGATCTCTCCTTTCCTTTATTGTTGAGAGAGAAAGACGATGTATTTTATTGCTCTACATCAACGAAATGCCTTTTACTGACTTTTAATCCTTTTCTTCAATTTTCTAGAAGAAATTAAGAAAATTTAGATTAGTGACAGATGGAGCTATGACGTTGTCTGAGATTCCAAAACTACCCTTCAAACGCATCATTGACGCCAAAGACTTGAGTGGCAATATAGTCAATTCCGGTGAAGTTTTGAGTCTCCCGTATTTTACGGACCTAACATTTTCCCAACAAGTCTTCAACCCATTCCTCTGGATTTTTATACGCACACACTCTCTCTCTTTTTTTATAAGGGAAATTTCCAATCTCATGATCACGTGTTTTATTTTAGAAATATGTTCATCCACATTACAATTGGATATTGATATGATATTAAGAGTGTAATTAAATTAAGGACAGTTAATTCTGACCCCATTAAATTAAGGACAATTCAATTTTGGATTATGGTTTAAAGACAGTTTATGAATATGTAGAGTTGCTGCTGCTACTTGATCTAGTAAGCCATAAATAGCATCCTTCTCTTTCTTTTTACCTTTTTTATTTTTATTTTTATACAAACGATATTATATTTAATCTAATCTAAACTACAAGGAGAGAGATTCGATAGGGAGCACATATGTTCTAGCCAACTTGACTAAGTTCATGTCTCCATCCTTTTATTTTTTTATGGTTCTGATAAAAAGCATCACTCTCTTTTTCTTTTGGGCCTGCCTGATAAAAAAACATCACTCTTTTTTCTTTTGGGTCTGCTAAAAAGCATCACTCATTCATACCACAAAGATAACAGGTTTGTATGGCCTCCCATAATAGCACAATGGTGGTTTGGGGAAATAAATGTTTGCAACTGCTGCTATTCAGAGCCCATAAAGTCCTTTTGGATTTGCAGGCATTGGTTAAAGAATATGTAACTGCTGAAATCTGTGCAGTGAACCACAATATACATACAAATGCACATTATTTCACTTGGGATTTTAAGGATTTTCTGTTTTGGTGCTGATTTGAAGGAAATTTTAAGTGAACTAGTATAATTCATTGTTGCTGGTCTTCAATCATTGCATTCATGTGTTCTAAAACCATGGCAGTTCTCTCCACATGCTTTAAAAGCACCCCATAGATCTTGTTTTTGATCCTCACACAAGCTTCCAATTCAGAATCATCTTTGTTGACAATCACATCTAACCAGTCACCAACCTTCTTAATCTGACACATCATTTCAGCTACATGGTTGTCTGATTCCATGGAAACAGTTTTGCTCTTGACTTCATCCAAGTAACTCTCCAAGGCAGCCAAAAACCATTTTCTACATTCATCATGCAATCTGTTTTCCAGGTCTGCAGCGGCAGATAAAGCACTTCCCTTTACCCAATCTTGTGAATTTTCCTTCTCTATGGCCAATCCAAAATGAGCATCACTTTTATGCTTGATTTTAACTATACATGTACCCTTTGGTTTACCATCACCATGAGTTTTACTTGATTTATGAGATTTGTGTTTAACCTCCATTGAAACACTACCAGGGCCAGAAGGTGGGGTAATAAGATCAGCTGCCAAAGCTGTTTTGATCCATGAAGTTGCATTTTTCTTTCGGTCCAGTGCAAGTACCAATGCTTCCCCAATGGAAGCAGAGCTGCTTGGATTTTTTTCATTAGCTTTTAGAGGACTAATGTTGGTCAAGGATTGAACAATCAATCGAGTTCGAGCCAGGTCATCTTGTAGGTCGAAAAATTTGTTTACTGATGGTTGCTGTTCCTCCCTCTTGGCTGACTGGACTTCTGAGTATGTGCTGAAAAAGTAACAAGAAAAAAGAAAATCAGTAAGCAAAATAGATACCAAATCAATAGAAATTTCACATTTTTCACATCCGGCATTCATTAAGGAAAACAGACTTGATAAGTGTGTTGCAGAATTCTGCATAAGCGCACCTTAGACATTTGAGCAAACTCTCAGCAGCAGAAGCCTCTTGCAAAGCCTCCACTGCAGCAAGCACAGCAACATCCCTGTGTCTTCGTACCTCCTGCACAGCAAATATGACAGTTCTAGCTCAATCAGCTAGGAATTAATCAACGGTGAGGAACAGGCCTCGTGAAGTTTAGTGAATCACACAATACCTTGCCAAGTTTCACTAATGTTGGGGGCAGGGAGTTCCACACTATCTTACTTTCTGACCATTTCTTATCATTAGCCGGATTAAACATCAATGGTGGATCTAAGGACTGCTCACAATTTTTCGCTGAGACGGAGATCCTACTGTTGGAATTTTTAACAGATTTCTTAGCTATGTCATCACTAATTCTTCTTGTTTTGGGACTTGACTTGTCATCTGAACTGTGACACTTAGCAGAACGAACTGGAGAAGCCTGTCAAGGCAGAAAGAGGAAAAAACATTTGATTAGGAAAAGTGATTATTGATTCATGGTGATTTTGAAAAGCAAAACAAACTAGAAAACTAAAATGTCCCTGGAGCCGTACAAACTCATTAAGTAAATTTTGTTCTTAAAATTTTCATAATCGCTGAACTTAACGATGAAGAAACAAGCAAATAACAAGCTCAAGCAGCGGACAGGAGTAAATCATCAGACAAAAGAGGTATTTGTTGCATGACAAATCTAATTACATATGCTTATAATACTATAGGAAAATGATTGCTCAGTATTATGACAACTAGAATTCATGGTTTCCTGCCTTAAAAAGAGATAAAATTCATCGTTTAGGGCCAGCAGTACAATAAGTAAAATGCATTTGCAGCCATCTAAAATGACAGAGTTCTGTCCAAACAATGGTTAATTCAAATTCAAATTCACTTACTGTTATTTACACCAACTTTAAATCATTTGCTGAAAGTTCATGCTGATTAACAGAGAATAAACTGGCGTACTTGTAGTAAATTTTACACTAACTTTCTCAAAATTATTCATCAAATTTCTAATTAGCAGGCCAAAAATGCCAAAAATCATTCCAACTAAATGGTACTCAAGTCAAATAGTTTCTGTTTAAAGGAATATGAGTTAAAAGAAGAAGCAGTGAGACACTCACATGAGCACTGCAGCTACGTCGACCAGTTGGCTTCATCCCATGCTTGACAACTAGGGAGTCTGCAACTTGTTCTGCCCCATTCCAGCTCTTTCTCTTCACTGTCAGCACAGACGAAGAAGAAGACAATGTGCTATCGGAATCACTATATTTCTCTACAAAACTAGAGCTTATTTTCCTAAACCCCCTTGTCACAACACGCATTTCCCTCTCACCCACATCACAATTTCCAGGCCTAGAGGCCCTTTTCTTCTCACTTGGGCAGGACTTGGAGGCACTTAAAGATCGATATCTGCCCCGAGGCTTCTTCTCCACACCTCTATCCTTCTCCATAACTAAATCAGATGCCCCTTTAGAATTCACCAACTTATCTATGGCAAAAAGATCTGCAGGATTTCCAACACAGGGAAATCGACCCGGGAGAGGCCTTATACCTTTAAGCACTGGCACCGGGTGTGCTGCCTCCAATTTTTCTACAAATATCAACTGCCCAAGTTGCAGTTGGTTGCAAAGAACCATGTCATCCTGTTCTTGAAGCAACGACACAAACATGGCATGTGAAGAATCTGAAACCTTCAAGTAAAACCCCTGATTAGGCCAAAGATCATCCTCTGCCAACACAGGAATGATGCTTCTGATTTGTAGCAACACGGGCTTTCGGTCATTCGAGGCCTTTCCGGAACTTCCCATTTCTTCAACAAGCTTCACCAGAACCCCTGAACCCAGAGTTACCATTTTCTTGGACAGAAAGAGAAAGAAAGAGAAAACAAAAGAAAACAAAAGAAAGTTCCTGTTTTTTTTCTCAACACAAACAATATTATAGTCACAAGTCACTTTCTTTGAATTTTTTTGGATGAAACTCAATGGTGACTGTGATCATGAAAATCTGAAATGGGTCTTCGTCAATGGATTACTCAGATGCTGAAATCAAATTAAAAATTTAAAAAAAAATCCAAAAAAAAAGGAAAATGAAGAAATTCAAAAGGATGAAATTGCTGTAGAAGGTTAAAGAAGAAGGACCCAAGAGAAAGATGGGTAATTAATTTGGGACTGCAATTAGAGAAAGCAAGATTGGTCTCTGAAAATTGAAGTTTATGCTCTGGAAATCTATAAAATCGACATGGCAAGGTGGAACATGGAGAGGTAGTTAAAACCGTTACGCTTGTGGAGTTGGAGCTGGAGTGGATAAGTGTTGCGTTGGGTTGGGTGAAAAGAAAATTGGGCTTGAAAGCTTTGTCCAGATAGAACGCCATAAAGCCATTGGGGGCCTAAGGAAATGGCCATAGGCTTATTTTTTTCTTTTGTTTTTTTTTGTTTTTTTCTGGTCTGATATCTTATACAATGTTTTATTTTTTTTTTTTTTCTTTTTATTTCTTTTTTTTTGTAAAAAGCCATTTTTATTTTTTTTTTCTAATTTCTTTCTATTTTTTATTAAATAGGAGAAAAACTAACCATAAAGACCATGAAGAGAAAAAAAAACATACAATTGTGAGAAGCACTAGAATTCTATAGTGAGGATCTTATCTATAGTTCTTAGATGATACTCTATCTTTTAACCGTTGGATCAAAGTGATTAGTTTGATCCATCAATTAAGAAATAAGATCTAATCTAAAGTCTTTAAATAAAATCCTCACTATAGAATGACTCGTCGTAAGTATTAGCTCTTTTTATAAATATCAGGAAATTCATTTCAACACGGCTTGAGAAATATATAGCCCATTGACCCAACCAATGAGCAGCTCAATTGGGAGCTCAGAGGCCCAACAAGATTTTGTTTTGTTTTTTGTTTTTTCCAATTAACAAAAGAAAAGCACCCTTTGACATAATAATAGGAAGAGATTCTATTTGCATCCAATTTTTTGCTCAGATATAGTTTTAGAATAATGTTTTTTTAAACTCTAATGAAGAGATAATAAACAAAGAATCACACGATTTGTCACCTCCTAATATGTTTGATCCCACTCACTCACTTTTTTCCTTCCTAGAATGTAACCCCCTTAATACTTTCTTCTTGTTTTTTGTTTTTTTAAAAACAAACCGTGGCGGCCACCATAGTCAACGTTTTTTATATATTAAAAGACCGAGTATTTTGGTGAATGATAATAAGGCTATTTTTAACCGTTATTCAATAATATAATGGTACATCTCTTTTCAAATCTCGTAACTATGTTTGCTTATATTGGAGATTTTTCAATGTGTGTGTACCCAAATTGTAATTTTGGTTAAGAAATTGTAACCATGTTTGCTTAGCTTACTAAATAACCTTATCCAAATTTCCCAGAGTCCAACCAATGCCCACCCCTACTACCACTAACTAGAGTAATTGGGGGTGATAAGATGATTGCTTTAAAATTCATGTCCCAATCAATGATGATGTTTACTCAAGCATAATTAGAAGAAAAGGCAAGTTTTGAATAGAGCCGCGCATAATATTGCGGCGTTTGTGTCCAAGTACTAGACTTATCACTAGTGGAATGTTAGTACTTGAATGATTGTTTAATACTCTTGCCTCATATGTAAACGTTTTCTTTCGCTTATTGTTTGACAACAACAAAAATCTGTAAAATTCAAGGAAATGTAATTTTCAAGCATAAATTTAGTATGTCCTAACTACAAACCTTGATGCTTTCACGTGGCACATTTCCCAATCGTCCTTTTAAGTTTGCAGTTTCTTCTAAGGCACCCTTCCATCCATCACTCTCCCTAAACCTTTTCCTATTAGTTTGCTTGAGATGAATACTTGCCTCTCTGTGTGTTTGTCAACTAGTGGCTAACTTTTCAATCTGTTAGGTGAAAATTAAAGTTGAAACAAGAAATGACCATAAACATAATGGGAAATGGCATATATACAGCCCCATTAATTGGAGCTTAATTGAAAGGACTTATACTATCACACAAAATGATTTCATGATGAAACATGCAATGTTAATGGCTGTGAACAGAATGCTAGAGCTCTATAGTTTCACTTATGGATGGATTGCTTGTGTCGGCTTAAACTCAAAAAATAAAAAATAATGCAAAAATCTATCATTTTTTAACTTCGTAGAAGAGGGATTATGAACACTGCGGAAGTCTATAACTTAAAACAAGTCTACAAAGCGATATAGCTCAGGTGATTAAGAGTCAAAAAAAAAAATCATATACATTAAGAGCAAGGGGCTCGTATGATAATCAGATGCATAATTCTTTTTTTGATAATCATTATAATTTTTGAATCTGGAATGCAAATCCCATAATAAAAAATCAAATCAAATAATCTCACACAAGTAAATAGCAAGATCATTTATCATTGGGTTTGCCCTATTTTCTGTTTTCTTTTTCTTTTTCTCTTTCTTTTTCTTTTTGTTATAGACCAAAAGTTATTGCATCTTTGCCGCGGGGTCAAGGGTGTGGATATTGTTGGTCCATGAGTCATGGCCCTCCATGTACATGAGAAGTGCCACTGAGAGAACAAAAGAAGCTTTTGTTTTGCCTAAGCATCATCATAAAGATCATTTGGTACCACCTAAAGCTGAGAAATGGCCTGACATTCTCTCTTTCTCATTTCACAAGCAACAGCCCAGTTATAGCAAAACAAACAGAAAGTTCATAGTGACTTTGGCCCTTAGCCTTAAAGAGCTTCTAGTATAAATAGCAACAATGCCTGCTCTTAAATCCTCAAACCAGTTATAGAGAAAAACAGTATAAACCCACAAATCAAAGAAGCCATGAAGAACCAAATCCAAATCCTCTTGTTTCTTTCACTTTCATTTCTCCTAATTGTCCCCATTTTCGCACAACAATTTGCATGTGACAAGAAAGACTCAACAACTAGCAAATTTGCCTTTTGCAACAGAACCTTGTCTTATGAGAACAGAGCCAAGGACCTTGTGTCACGCCTTACTCTCCAAGAAAAGGTGCAACAGCTAGTAGATAATAGCGCAGGCATAGCTCGGCTAGGCGTGCCTGCCTATAAGTGGTGGTCCGAGGCACTTCATGGTGTGTCCGATCTTGGCCCGGGCACAAAGTTTAATGGCACTGTGCCTGGTGCCACTAGTTTCCCAGCAGTGATTCTATCTGCTGCAAGTTTTAATTCATCATTGTGGTTAAAGATGGGGCAGGTTGTGTCAACTGAGGCTAGAGCCATGTACAATGTTGGTCTAGCTGGGTTGACATATTGGAGCCCGAATGTTAATGTGTTCCGTGACCCTAGATGGGGCCGCGGACAAGAAACACCCGGGGAGGACCCGCTGGTGGTGTCGAATTATGGAGTGAATTATGTCAGGGGTCTGCAAGAAGTGAGTGAAGGAATAAAGGCCGGTGATGATAGGCTAAAGGTCTCAAGTTGTTGCAAGCATTACACCGCTTATGATGTGGATAACTGGAAAGGCGTCGATCGATTTCACTTTGATGCACAGGTATATACACCCTGCTAGCTGGTCTCTTTTTTGATGGATTTATTTGGTCTTACAGTGACATCTTGATTCAATATTAGGAAAAGTTCGGAGGAACTTTAGTAAATAAGGGAAACTTGTTCTTCTGTGGATTGACATTCCCACAACAAAAGAAAGAAAGAAAAAGATGGGATAATCATATCACATTATTTTCCTTAATTATTGATTTTCAAGAAGAATAAATTATATTTATATTCATAAGGAGATCTATCTCTTTTAAAATGCCAGGAGTTTTTGTTATAACTATTTGCTTGAGTCAATACTCAATGCAGATAAAAAAAAGCATTAACCATATTTTATGTTCATAATTCATCTTTCTTAAGATACAAGAAATTTAGGGTACAAATGACCATGTTCTTGCTGCTGGAGTGAATGGCAGGTGACAAAGCAGGACCTGGAGGATACATATCAGCCACCCTTCAAAAGTTGTGTAGAGGGGGGCCATGTCAGCAGTGTGATGTGTTCATACAATAGGGTCAATGGGATTCCCACCTGCGCTGACCCGAACCTCCTCCAAGGGGTAATCAGAGGTCAATGGGGTCTTGATGGGTAATTTTCTTGCCTCTCAAGCTTTAGAGGTGTAATTTAATCTTAGCTTATGCAAATTTGATCCTAAATTTTCAATTTCATTAACAATAACTGGTTTTTATCCCCTAATGATCCTTGTGCCTGACTGACTGTTCTTTCCTCTTTTTCTTTTGTGTGTGTGTGTGTGTGCGCGCGCGCTCATATGAGCAGATATATTGTTTCAGATTGCGACTCGATCGAGGTATATTATGATGCCATCCATTATACTCCAACACCTGAGGATGCTGTAGCCCTTGCCTTGAAAGCAGGTACTGGAATTGCAGCCAAAAAGTTGTGAGCATTTTGTGAGAAATCAAAAGTACCTCAACAAGAGGCTTATAATTGATCTTACATCATGTGTTACAATGTGATCATGCAGGTCTAAACCTGAATTGTGGGAACTTTTTAGGACAGTACACAGAGAATGCGGTTAACTCGAAAAAAGTGGATGTATCTGTGGTAGATCAATCCTTGATATACAACTACATAGTATTGATGAGGCTTGGATTCTTTGATGGTGACCCTAAATTGCTCCAGTTTGGAAAACTTGGTCCGTCTGATGTGTGCAGCAACGATCACAAGAATTTGGCACTTGATGCTGCTAAGCAAGGCATAGTTTTGCTAGACAACAAGGGAGCTCTTCCTTTGTCCTCCAAAAAAATCAAGAACTTGGCTATTGTTGGACCTAATGCAAATGCCACTGATGTTATGATAAGCAACTATCATGGCATACCATGTAGCTATACTAGCCCTTTACAAGGGCTACAGAAGTATGTCTCTGCCTTGAAATATGAGCCCGGATGTAACGGTGTGAAATGTGCTAACGAGAGCCTTATTGGGGCAGCTGCTCTGGCCACTGCCACAGCTGATGCAGTAGTGGTGGTAGTAGGACTGGATCAGTCCATTGAAGCAGAGGGGCTAGACAGAGAGACCTTGACATTACCAGGGTTTCAAGAAAAGCTTGTAAACCAAGTTGTTAATGCAACAGAAGGAACAGTCATTTTGGTCATTATGTCAGCTGGCCCAATTGATGTTTCTTTTGCCAAAAATGTGACAAAGATAGGAGGGATAATTTGGGTAGGATATCCAGGTCAAGCTGGAGGAGATGCCATAGCTCAAGTCATATTTGGAGACTACAATCCAGGTTAATTTTGACCCTCTTTAATCTCTGAAGTGCTTCAATATGAGATTAGGCTCAAATAATGGTAAAATTTGTTTCAGGGTTATCGATTTGTTTAACTGATCATAAGTGGTAATTTCTTTTTTCTTTTTTACCACAATGTGTAGCTGGAAGATTACCTTTTACATGGTACCCTAAGGAGTATGCAGACCAAGTGCAAATGACAGACATGAACATGAGAGCCAACACAAGCAGAAACTTCCCTGGAAGAACATACAGATTCTACACTGGAAAAACCGTCTATGAGTTTGGTCATGGCCTAAGCTATTCAACATTCACCAAGTTCATAAAATCAGCACCTTCCACTGTGCGCATCCACTCAACTCCCATTTCCAGCCCACATGCTAGCCTTCTTGTTTCCAACTCCACCACTCAACTGATTTCGAATCCTGCTTCCAGAAGCCCTTTCATTGACATATCAAGAGTGCAGTGCCAGAAACTAAAATTTGACCTTGTTGTTGGTGTGAGGAACAACGGGCCAAGGGACGGAGGCCACGTGGTGCTAGTGTTCTGGAAACCGCCACGCTCGGGGATGTTGGTTGGAGCACCAAACCTGCAGCTGGTGGACTTTCAGAGGGTGGACGTGAAGAATTGGCAGGCAAAGCTTGTAACCATGAGGGTGGATGTGTGCAAGAGACTGAGCTTTGTGGATAGAGAAGGAAAGAGGACGTTGGCCACTGGGAAGCACACAATTCTGGTTGGTTCTCCTAGTGAGTACCAAGTGAAGCACATTCTCAAATTTAGGCTGGCTAGGAAAGGAGAAGTGAGGGAGGCTTTTTAACTTTATAATTAACATCTAATTAGCTATTTACTTGCAGCTAGTAAATAAGCAAATAGCTATGCAACAGTAAGAAACATATGATAGAGATTTATTATTTCAAGGGTGTAATGCAAATTTTATTGTAAAAGGATCTATAAGAGGATACAAAAAAAAGGAGTAAATAAAAGGATTGGTGTTTTTCATCTCAGGATTTGAATTCTTCTGAAGATGTATAACAAAAGTTTTCCTACCATGAAAAATATGCAAACCAATAATGTGGCATTCGGTGTGCATCTAAGCTGAAGCAACACGTGAGAAATTCATGCTTGACAGACAATTGTAGACGAACGTGGATTGCACAGTAAGCCTCGCACTAATGAACAATTCAATACAACATGCATGTGTGAATGATAAATGTTAGCTAAATTCCTTATAATTGTACATGTCACGTTCGCCGTTATCTAATAGATAAACATACTTTAAAGTTGGATGCACTCAAGAACATCTTGATTACTTTGTTTCAAGTTTCGACTACCCTTCAACCAGCTCACTTTTTGGCCAAGCTTCTTGTTTGAGACCAATTCAGCATAATTCAATTCACATTAAGTGCTCGATAGTTATGTATATCAATCAAATTAAGCTACCTTTGACTTTAAGTAAGGTCTTGGGTCCCAGATTTGGGAGTTTTGGAAAGTACAGGGAAACTCCCTCTCTACCTGTATATTTCATGCACATTCATGAAAGAAAACCGATGAGCAAAAGGGTCCCCATTATGCATTACAAAACCAATAAACAAATCACACTTGTGAAAACTACAAAGCATCTCTCTATGAATTGAAGCATTTAAAATACAAAAAGTTGTAAGCACTATACTTAATTGCAATAAACGGTGGGCAAAGCCCACCATTTCATCATTCATTGCTATTAAATCCCAAAGAAAGGATTTGTATTTAAAAAAAAAAAAAAAAAAAAAAAAAAAAAAAAAAAAAAAAAAAATAAATGGGATTAAGATTACAAACTCCTAAGTCGTCAAAGAGGTCTTGATATGCCCTGGTTCAAAAATGGGATTAACCTCCCTTTCTCGTAAATCTTTTTTCATAAAAAATAAAAAATTCAAAGAAAACACAAACAAACAAACCAAATGAGTTTTGAGTTGTTTAAGTTTGTTCTAACTAAATTCAAGCACGAGTTCATAGTGCCAAAAGTTGCCAAGCCTCCAATACCAAGTCAAGAAAATAATACTAGGTCAAGCAAAATATATTTAAAATTCCCTTCTTTAGGTAGTGGGATTTATCTGTTCAATCCCTTTCGATCCAATCCATTTGATTTTTACGCGTATGGCCGCCTAACCCTACTGGATTTGTTTGGATTACGCCATTGTAGCTTAGCTAGCTATGCCAACATATGCATCACTCAGTCAAAAAGCACAAAGCCATCACAATCCCTCCAATTGTCCCACGACACGCTATCCTTTTTCACATTGCTAAAGTCAAACATGAAGACCCTACATTTCAGAGAAAACCCAGATTGAAATTACCCTCAAGTCCCCAACCAAAGCACACTATTTTCCCAAAGTCAAATGGCACGACCGTCATTTCACATATATTACCTGCCTTACCTGCACCCTCTTCCTTCACGTTGTCCCTCCCAGCAAGGTAGTATATAAGTCTTTGCTTCTCCAGGACATTATATCAAGATTCAAAAGCACCAGAGCTAGATCAATTATTATCAACAACAAGACAAGAAGAAGAGAAAGAAGAGGCAAAACCAAGCAAACAGAATGGAAGGCTTAATTCCATTTCTTTTTCATGCCCTGAAGAAGCAAAGGCCACAACACAGGTACAGGTCCTTTTCTCAGAGCAACTCCTCCAACCGCAGCTACCATCTCCTTATGAGTGGCCAGGATTCATTAGAGGGCTCCTCTCATCGCCGGACACGATCCGAATTTCAGCCTCCTGTTAGTACTGCTGGCTTCTTTGAGCAGCGGCCCGCGAATGAATTTCTTCATTCGCGGGGCCTCAAGGAAGAAGGCGGTGTTTCTGCTGCTCCTTCAGTGCTCATTGGATCATCAAAGATGGGTTCCTATCCTTACCAGGTCTCTAATGCGGGTATGGCTAAAAGGAAATGAAAGATTCAATCCGAATAATATTTCATTGATTTTTTGTTTTTCCTTTTGGTATTGGAACGAAGTGTTCAATGCTTGTAGTTCAGTTCTTGTAAAAGTTTAATGTTAATTGAGCAGTGGAAATGTATTTTAATTGTTAATAATGTCGGTGAGGTTGAAACTTTGAAAGCAAACATTGGTGAACTGTAGATTGTGATTGATTGTCTTGTGTGCTTGTTTTTATTTTATACAATTGATGTAACAAAGAATCAAGTCAAGAGCCACGTTATAGTGTATAAATTTATTTATTTTATTTAACGATAAAATATTTTATAAAACTATTTTACGAACAATTCACCAGTAACAAAATTACGTACGTATTTACATTGAGTTAGCCACTATTAAGAATTAAATACACCACAAAAATATATCATCCTCGTATTTATATGAGTTAAACTTGAATCATGTTTCAAATATACCGTGGTCGTATTTACGTGAGTTGAACTTGAATCATGTTCCAACTACATCGAGATGAAATAGACCGAAGACTAGCTAGTTATAAACAAAGGGTAAAAACGTCATTACAGGTATATGACCTGCCAGCGAAGACAAGTTGTAGATAAGTCTGTCCTTCTTAAGGACATTGTGACACATAAATTTCAAAGAGGAGCAGAGCTCCAATAATTTTTTGTGGTCAGCAACAACAAGACAAGAAGAAAGAAGAGGCAAACTGAGCGATGGATCAAGGCAGGCACAAAATGGAAGGCTTAATTCCATATATTTATCACGCCATCAAGAAGCAAAGACCTCAGCGCAGGCACCGGTCATCCTTTACTGAGAGCATCTCCACCCATGCTAGCTACCATCGCTTGATGAGTGGCCATGATGTCTCAGAGGCCTCATCTCTTCGTCGAACACCGCCGGAAGTTATTCGTTCGCGTAGCTTCGAGGAAGAAGGTGGTGCTTCTGCTGCTCCTCCAGGCCGCATTGGATCATCAAAGTGTTCAAAAGTGGAGCTTCCTTCATAATGACGCGGTTCATTTCTTGTAAGAGTTTTAGATTGAAACTTAGAGAGATGATTAAAGCAGTGATTTAGATTTGGGATGATTTGAAATTTGAATGTCATAATGTTTGTTTGTGTGCTCCTACAATTGCAAACCAAGCACCAAGTAACAACCATGCCAAAATGGCATTTGATTTTTCTGTCAGAGTTGTCAATATTATAATGCAATGTCATTATCCCACCTAAACTAAAATGGACAGATTTGGACCAATTAGTCGCAAAACAAAAGAAAGGAAAATACTAAAATGGGGTTGCTCGGGACTAGAAACAAACAATCCGGGGTTTAATATCCCACCTACCTATAGACAAATTAAAACCTTGTAAGAGGATATTAGGGTTTCGAATCCAAGATCGAGATCCAAAGGTTTGAAGGGGTCTGAGGTTTGAGTTTGATCTCATGTTAATGAAACATTGCATATGTTAGTATGATTTAGCACGAAAATAATCTTATTCAATTAATCAACGTTGTTCCACTTCTCTAGTGAGAGTTTTATTTGTATTGTTTTGGCTTGGTTTCAAACTTTATCCTTTTTTTTTTCATTGTTCTGAGTTTGCAATGTTAGTTGGGATGTCTATGCTAGAGTTTCTTCGGTCAGGGGCGGAGCTGTACTAAGGCCTAGGATGGCCTTGGCCCTCCAATTTATTTAACCCTTTTGAATATATATATATATATATATATATATATATTGGATGTGGTAACAAATGCAAAGAAAAATTGCTATACTTAAGCCTATGGCCCCTCACCACAAATCAATACTAGTCAAATTGTATTTTAATATGAATATAATAGTAAAATCATACTACATTTATGAAAAAAACCACGCATTTCAATTTAGTGCTTTTGTACGCAATAGTTTACTCAATAGGCCAAAAAAAATATACAACTAAACTTTTTGTGTTAACATTTTGGCCTTCTCAAATATAAAATCCTAGCTCCGCTATTGTCTTCGGTCCTGCAAGATTGTTAGTGGAGATACACCAAATTGTCTTAATTTTGATGTTAAATTTCTCCAGACTCCATTATTGTAATGGTCCTTTATGTCTAGTTTCTATTGAGCCTTTATGGCTAGTAACTTTTTTTTTACTCAATTATGAATGCAATTATAGAATTTTTTTATTTTTTATTATTTATTATTTATTTTTAACGTAAGGATCCAATTGATCCAATCTAGCATGCCAAACAAAACATTAGCATTCATCATGATATAATTAGTAATCACTAGTTAATACATAAACTTTCAAAGGAGAATGCAAGCTGAGTTCCCGTCTACCCTTATGCCTTACTCATTTTTCTTTCCATTTTGCAATGTTAAACGATCAAAATAGTTTAAAGTGTAGTCTAAATGAGAGATTTTTCGAGCCTCAAAGGACATTACATGATGAGCAAATGATAAAGAATGTACAAAAGGAAAGATAGCTAGCATTTCTCATTTTTATTATTGTACATATACCTACATCAACAATGTAGTATTATGGTCAAACACATCACTTTTAGAGGCCTTGTCAAATATATACATATTTTGGAAGTTAACATATCATATATAATTCTTTTCTTATTGTGAAATAAAATTCCAACAGAAATAAACCATTTTCTAAAATTCTAAGTGAATGTTATATGTAAAAAGAGTTCAAATTCTTTCTTTATTATGTTTTAGGTTTTGTGTGCTTTAATATTATCATTTTTTATATATAAATATAAGCGATAATTTAAATTACTCTAAATTAATATGAGAGTAACTCCAATTTGAGTGAACTAAGCTCGCTATCCTAACCAACTAGTCTAACGTTTCTTAAAAACACGTTAATTTTTTATACGATTAAAAACACGTCATTTCGATTTTCATTTATTATATCTTTTCAATATATTTGCACATAAATCTTAAGAACTAGAGTTCGCGACGGCGTTTTGATCATCATATCGACAAGGACAATATTATATAAGTAAAAATTGTACGCACGACGTCGTTTCGGGAGTTCTTCAAACGCTTTTCCATGCACGATTTCACAACAGAGCCATAAGCCACACTTCGTCTCCGCCACTGCAACACCCAGCCAACGCTCGAAGTTATGCAAAGTGGAAAAAATACGATGTCGTTTCGATCAATCTTCGACGCGGGTGAGCTGAAATCAGAACTGGAAAAGTCCGGGGTCAAGCCCAGCTTCATCCCCTACATATGGAAGCAGGTGATCCAAAACCCCGACGCCCAATTGGACCAAATTCCGTCTTTACCCTCCGCCGCGTACCCTCTTCTAACCTCAAAGTTCAAAACCCTAACCTCCTGTGTCCACTCGGCCATGGATTCCTCAGACCAACTCACCACCAAGCTCCTTATAAAGCTACAGGTATGCAATTTTCTCCTTTTGCACACAACCCATTTGATAAAATGCTTAAATGAGAGAGACTTACGGATTGTTTGTTGTTTTTCTATTAGAATGGGGCTCTTGTGGAGGCTGTGATTATGAGGTACGATACCCGCTTGGGAAAGTACAATGGGAAGCCCCGCCCTGGTGGAATGAGGTCCACCTTGTGCGTATCATCTCAGGTATTGAGTTTTGAAATTTTGGTTTTTGTTAAAAATGCTTGCTTTTGAATGTTTCTGTTGATGTTAATAGGTTGGTTGCAAAATGGGTTGCACATTCTGTGCCACTGGGAGTATGGGGTTTAAGAGCAATCTGACCTCGGGGGAGATTGTGGAGCAACTGGTTCATGCTTCTCGTATTTCGCCTATACGCAATGTTGTTTTCATGGTAATTTTTTTTTATCTTTACTTGCTTACTTTTTTGTTTCTATTGGAATGATATGTTATGTATGTGGAAGAAATAAGTGATCTTTTCAAAACTTTGGTTCTTTTGTCAGGGAATGGGGGAACCATTGAATAACTATGGTGCCTTAGTGGAAGCGATTCATGTCATGACTGGACCGCCATTTCATTTGTCGCCAAAGAAAATTACTGTGTCCACGGTACGCATTGTAAACTGCTATTATGCATAAGATTCTTTATGCTTTTTTTTTTCTTTTTTTCTTTTTTTCTTTTTTCCTAATCAGTTTTCAAAGAGTTCATAAGAAAATTCCCCCCTCCTCTCTGAAATGCGTGAAGTTAAGGTTTCATGCAATTAAGTTCTTTAGAAAGCTGCTTTGTGTTTGGCTACTTGATTTTCCATTCAAGGGACTCTTTCATAAGGGAACCTTATTTTGAGAAGTGAGATTAGCTATAGACTAAAACACTGATGATAAGCCCAGTTAATCTCAACTTTTGGTTAAAGTTATATCATATTTCTTTTGGTTCTGTCCATGAAAAATGTATTCCCACCATTATTACAGTTGTCTTGGAAGTCACTAACTGAACTTAGACCATTCTATTGTTCTAGGCCTTTGGATATGATGGACTTAATAAATTTCTCATACCATTCTATATGCTTCTATAATCAAGGTTTTGTAATTTTTTTTTCTTTTTGTTAGTTCATGATATTTTGTCTACAGTTTGTGGACCTACATACAGGCTTCTTAGAATGGGGCATAATGTGTAAAGTATTTCCCTTTAACTGAAGATATGATTACATAATTTTTTTTTCTATGATGGCCTGAATTGGGGACCTCCATGGATGAAACTTAAGATGCAACCCTTCCGTGCCACTTTTCCTTTTATATGGCAGATGGAAAGTAACTACGTAGTACAAAGCTCTCTAAGTCTTCAGTTGCATGGAAATGAATCATAGTTGCAGTAGTCTTATGAAATAGTTCTCAAGTGCTAGAAACGTTTGGCTTACTGGTCTATCAGTTGTGCATCTAATCTTCTGTAGGTTGGCATTATTCATGCTATCAAAAAGCTTCATATTGACCTTCCAGGACTGAATTTAGCAGTTTCACTGCATGCACCTGTACAAGAAATTCGTTGTCAGATAATGCCTGCAGCTCGAGCTTTTCCTTTAGTAAAGCTTATGGATGCACTACAAGAATATCAAAAGAACACGTAAAATTTTGTTACACCTCATGCTTTTAGTAAATTATTTTAGCTTTTATGTCTTTACAACTACACTTTGACTGTCATTTTCCTAGAGAATCTCACTGTTGCCCTTAATCTTCAGTCAGCAAAAAATCTTCATTGAGTACATAATGCTTGATGGAGTGAATGATGAAGAGCAAAATGCACACCAGCTCGGGAAATTGCTAGAGACATTTCAAGTGGTGTGTTTTTATCTCTGAACTGGCAGCATTTGATGAATTTCTATTTCCCTTTTTTGTGTGCGTGTATCTTTGTGTATCATATCCCAATAAATAATTGGTGCATTTGTTGTTTCCGGTCACAGGTGGTTAATCTAATACCCTTTAATCCAATTGGTGATCTGAGTAAGTTCAGCACCAGTAACGAAGAGAAAGTATCGAGTTTCCAGAAAATCTTACGAGGTACTTATGGCATCCGAACAACAGTTCGTAAGGAAATGGGTCAGGACATAAGTGGAGCATGTGGGCAGTTGGTTGTGAACAAGAGGTCAATTGAGAACACAGTTCTCTTAACTGATATAGAAGATCTTCAGGTCAGATAGGTCTCTTCTTGCCCCAGGAGGTGTAATGCCAGTCAAAGTAATCAACACTGCTCTGCAGGACAATTTGTCTTCTTGTAATTTTGACAACTTTGTAATTCATTCTGTTATTTTTGTGGTTGCAGAAGCAAAATTTCTTTTGTAATTTCATCCTCTTAGTTTAAAATCTTTACTAGATACACCTAAAACTTTTTCTTTCAACTTTTTCCACTTATCTCCCCAAATGTGTGGGTTTGTGGGTGGTTGTAGATATTGAAATGAACGTAAATGATACAGTTTTGATCAGTGCCTAAGATTCAAAGATGAACGGCTGGATTTCAAGGATGAATTCCTCTCTGCTTTTAAAAAATACCAAACCAGCATGGCATGTCGTCATATGCACGTGACCACCCTGCTTCTCTCAGAACTAACACGTGTGGAGCATCTTGACTACTTCAGAAAAATGTTTCAACCACTGCAACATCACACTCACTGACCCTAGCAGACCAATTCAACAATTTCAATTTAACTAAGAAAAAAAAAGCTAGAAAAGAAATAAGCTTTTATAGAAACCCAGAGAGTTTTGTGCTGTTGGTTTTCAATTCACAAAAACAACAAATTGAGAAAAATGCAACAAGAAGCAAATCCCAGAACGTTAATGTTTGCCCTCTTGCTCACCATGCTCATCTCCTCATGCTTGGTTCACTCGAGCAACTCAGCCAACTCTCCATCACCTTCACCGGTGAGTTCATACCACACTTTGCACTGTAACTCTGCTCTTTACCCTTTACTTTTTCTGGTGCAATGTGAAATATTGAATCCATGTTTCAATTTTGTTTAGGCTGTTGTTGGGATGCCAATGCCGAATGAGCCGCCTCGACGGATTGTTAAAAAGGGAAGGAGAGGGTCGTTTCCGGCTACTTGCCATTTAAAGTGTAACCAGTGCGAGCCTTGCATGCCAGTTCAAGTATCAGTCCGAGCAATGGCATTGGAAGAGAACGAGTATTATCCACAGGTGTGGAAATGTTCCTGTGGTGATAACATATTTTCCCCTTAGGCTAAGATTTGTTGCAGCTGTAATTAGGCCTAAGATAGGTATTCTCCAAACTAATAGAAGAAACTTTCATGCACGCCTTCTTATATGCGAAAACTTCTTATACAAGGACATATGCATATAACATTTCTCACAATAATTGATCAGGTAACCAACATTTGACGAGTTTATTGTGAGAAACGTATTGTATATATCCGTTATATGTAAGAATCTTTCGTTATGTACGGATAATAAGTCAGTTTGCAGGCTTAGTACATTTAAGGTAATGAATATGTATGAATTGAGGTTAACTAATAATTATGCAGTTCATGATGTATGCCACTAGGGGAAGACAGGGAAAAGACTGAAAGATCTCTCCCATGGTTCCCAGATGTTTGTGTAATGGGGTTGAGACAGATTAAATATATAAATTAATCTTGAAAATATGTTGAAAAAGTTGGTCCAAGTGTTAACATGGACACAGACAGGCCTGCGCCTGTCCAATGCAAAGGGAGAGCCTAAAGCAAAATTTAAAAAACAAGATACAGGACAGGGTGGCAAATATATCTTCCTACGTTCTCTCTACTTCCTTCCATGGAAGGGGCAGAATGGCTTGACTTTATTGTCTCAAGCTCAACTGCCGTTTCTTCAGCATTTTAAGAATCCACTAAATCTTCTTAGGTCGAATATATAAGCTTTAATGAATGAAAAGCGACTGATAAATAATAATAAGCGGAAGATATCTTTATTGTATTACTAGTAAATAAAGTATACAACAATTCTTGTACCCAAAAAGAATGGTTAATTCTCCTAAAATGTAGAAATAAGACCCCATTTAACTTAACAGGCAAGTGCTCACTTCCACCGTCAATCATAGTCGCAGCAGTTCATTTCCTGCAGAAAGAAGAGTAATGTGTGAGAAGTACTCCCAACATTTAAAGGTAGTATTTTGGCAAGCACTATTGGGGAATATACATGATTTTCTTTTTATAACTGCAAGACAGTTAAACTGTCAGCAAAAAGAAAGTAGCGCGAGTATTACCTCTGACATGCGACGATGCTTGCTCATTAATTGTGTTCTTGCCTTCTCCAGAAGAGAATTCCTCTGCACATAATGCAAATGTTATTGCAAATGTCCCAGTTTGGTTAAGGATTGGACTACTTTTTGGAATTATATATTCATCCCAAAAAGTTTTTGCCCTACGGAGAAAACACTCCAAACATAACAAAAGAAATAGAAGCATACCCAAACTCTCTCTTTCTTTTTATTTTCCTTCGTCAGTGTTTCAGCATTTCTTTCTTCGGGTAAAAAGAAACGGACGGTAATCTGTAAATTTAAGTTTAATGGGGATTAGAACAATAATGCCTCAAACCGACCACAATACATTTAAAAGATTAAAATATCAATAGACAATGAACTATGATGGTTGATATATCTTAAATAAAATTATGTGCTAAAAATATCCTGAGTTCAGCAACCACAATATAAAAAAGTAAAAAGAGTCACCAATATGAAACAAAATAAACAAAATGTGCTGCCCAAATTCTACATACATTGATATATTTGACAAACTTCAAATTCAACTTTAAGATTTATCTAAGACGATGCAAAAATCAAACTAAGAGAAATAAAGAGAGATTACCAACCTTATCAGTGGTAGATACATAGAGTTCTGGACCTAAATTCTTTATTCTACGTGGATTGAATTCAAACAAATGTTGAAGTTTCTCATTTTCCTGTTCCAAAAAAAAATGTTACTCCTACTTAAAATAATAAGAATGCTGAGAAAATCAGTAAGACGGAAAACCAACCTTCATATGTATTTTGAATCCATCATTTAGAAAATTCTCCAAAAACTGCAACTGTTGATAAAATATTTTTCAAAACAAAAAAAAGAAGACAGTAATTAGAAAACTTTGCAAATCAATCAAATGTTGAAACTTATAAACAAATAATAATAAGAAATATAAAACATGCGATTACCTGAATCATTTGATACCATGATGACAACTTTAGATCTTTTCCATTGATTGTTAAAGATGTTCCCAAACATTGAAAACTCTGATATATGAACAAATCACTCTTTAAGGTTTTTATCTCAATGTACTGGCAGAGGAAAAAGAGAAAACATGAAATTGACCGTTACCTCAAAATAATTCACAACTTCGCAGACTTTTTTTGTAATATTCTCACTTCTAGTGTCCAAATAAAGACACTTTAATTTCTTTAAAATATTTTCTCTCAGTGATTGTTGCATATGTGAATAGTTGCTGTGATCCTTTGCTTCCTTCCAAAACTTATCAAGATTTCCAGTTTCAAATATTAAGGCCAGCGCTTCACAAGCTGCTACACGCACTAATTTATCACCGTGCTCTAATAGGTTTGAGAAGTAGCAAACGGCCCTGTATCAATTTGCTTATATTAGAACAGTGCTATAACAACATAATTCAATCTATAAGGATCGTCAATGATTGATATGCATGACACATGATTCAAGTTATGGAGTAAAAGATTTCTGGAACAAAAAAGAGAGAAACAGATAGCATTTATCATCCATGTCCCTTATCCTAAAAAAATAATAATAATTTAGAACCTCATTCAAAACTACTATTTAAATATTGCATGAATTTTTTTAGAAAATATTTTAGTTGATAAAAGATTACAATTGGAAAAAAAAAATTAATATCTGATTATTTTGAGTTGACGTTTTACCCATTCCAAGAGTTGTGGCTGAGTCTCCATCCCTCCATGCTTGTAAGAAGAAACAGCCAAGAATATATTGCAGCAACTAGAACCTCTGGCGAATGCTTTTTTGTGTTGACCTAAAAGTTTTAAAATAAAAAAAAACCAACTTCAGCTCTTTATTCTAAAATTTGGTACCATTTGTAACAATTTATAACCTAAATGCTTGAGAAACTAAATAGGGACTGATGAAGTGAAGTTAAAAAAAAATTGTACCAAACAAAAAATTAAAAGGTGCACATACGTCATTGACAGATTCAGGATGAATGAACTTCCAAATAATTTGCATGGCACTTTCAGTCTCCTCTGAGTTAGTTGAACCAAAAAAACCCACAATAGCCAAACAATTCAACATCTGCATAAAACCATTTTTAGTCTGAGATTCATACACCTTGGAGAAGTCCTATTAATAAAATTTAGGTGCATATCAAGCGTATTAAACTACCTTTAATGTCGTGGTTCCAGATTTTAGACCCTCGGAAAGTACAGGAAGCAAAACTCTGTATACTTCAGAGAGTTTATCTTCACAACAAATGATTATGGCCAGCAAACCTAAAATCATGATAAAATGAGACCCATAAGCATTACAGACAAATGTGAAACCCACATAAATGTGCTATTTGACAGAGCTAGACAAACCTATAACATGTAGTGATAGCTGCTTCTCTTTAGAAGAACCTTTTTCTAGGGAATTTAATCCTCTGTATAGAAAGGTAGCAAAACTGCAAGAAAACAAAGGGGCTTGTTATACTTCCAACTTTCAAGCAATAAAACAAGAATAGTTATTTGTGAAAATAAAATAAAAATTTGCTTACTTCTCTTCCAGATAGTCATTCTCTAATCTGCAAGTTAACACTTCAATGATTGAAGCCAGTGCCTCCTCTCGCTTGGATCCTCTTCATTAACAAAAACAAAGAAAACCATCAAAATTTGTTGCGAAGAAAATTCAACATAACAACCCTGAGAGTTACAGAAAGAGAAAAAAAAACACAAAATTCGAAAGGAAGAACCTTTTCTCATACAACATTTCTAGGTAATGGGAAAGTCGCTTTGGTTGCGATGGCCGAGGCACTTCTTCATAGCTCTCATCGTCACCAGCAGCAAGTACAGGTTTTCTACCAGCCGATCTACGTAACAAAATATCATTACTTTTCTGGCTACGCTTCCTGGAGCTTGAAGGATGAGCTTTGTCTCTTCTCGACATGTTCGATGAATCCTGTGAGAGAATTCAACTCTCGGAGTAAATTAGCAGGCAAAGTTTGGATTTTGTTTCCCTGAAACGGACGAATTCCTCAATTTAATTCGAATCAGGAAGCCCTAAATTCCAAATCCCAATGGACCAAACCTCAATCCCTTCTTACACAAATACTAATAAATTCCCAAATCATATCGAAAACGAAGCTTGTGGTTTATATGGTGAATATATATAGGTTTGGTTTGTGTTTTCTAATCTTAGTCTGAAAGGGAATAATTGCAAGCATTCCGAGTTCAACAAGAAAAGAAATCAAAATTGCCAAGTGGACCCAAACACGCCGTAAATGGTAAATCTTTTTGGCAGCTTCACCTCCTCTCTCGGTCATTTGGGAGGGAAGCACTGTGCTGCTGCGCATCGCTTCAATTTTCAGGTTTTTGATTTGGGGGCGGCTTGGTGGTGTTCTATTAAGAACAGGTTTTCATATTTCAGAAAATACGATTATAAAAGTTCTAATTTTGAGTGAAAAATTGTTTCTAAAGCCTTTTCCAGAAAGTTTAAAATTTAAAAAAAAAACTAAAAATTGTTTCTAAATCCTTTTCCCAAAAATAAAAAAATATTATTAACAAAATTTACTCTTTTTGTTTTGTAAAATTGTTTCCTTTTTTTTTCTTTTTCTTTTCCAGATGTTTCCTTTTCTTTGTTGGATTGATAAAACGGTAAACTTATTTCTTAAAAAAAGAAACAAAAATTTTAAAGTAACCCAGAAAATAACTTCCCAAAAACCCTATATATATTCACCCTATAAACAAGAAAGAAGCTTCGATTTCGATCTGATTTGGTAATTTAGTAGTTAGGTAAGAAGGGGATTGAGATTTGGTCCAGTTGGGAAATTAGGTTTTCAATAGAGGTTACTTGTGTTATTTATAGGACTTGGAAGCCATTACCCAATCCATAATATCAAGGCCGGTCCTAAGATTTTTAAGGCCCAGGTCAACGTCGTATGTATGTATAGCTCCACACAAGAAAGATCATTTTATTTTATTTGCATGTGTGTATATAGAACCTTTTATAACCATAGAAAAAAGTTTAGGACTCGACAAAGTGTCATTTAATTTTTGTCTATAAGAAATGATTGAAGATCATATGTATATATAGCTCCACACACAAGAAAAATCATTTGAATTTATTTGCGCTTGTGTGTAGAATATTAAAAAATATAACTTTTTTCGAGAGCAGATACCACAGTGATGGCCTCCCCCTTCCCCCCGGCTTGATACTCAGGTTCGAAACTCCAAGGGGTTTCTTTCCTCTTAGAGCATCCACAATGGGGGGTGTGCTAAATATACATCTCGAGTCACCGGAATCGTCTCCAACGAAGAGATGTAAATATATGTAAATATACATCACCACCATGAGGATGTAAAATAAAATGTATATTTACATCTATTTTTACACCCCTTGCAGGCGGGACCCACCCGAGAAAAGAGAAGAAAAATAAAGAAAAGTCAGCATAAAAGGTTGAGACTTACGGCTACACTTCCGAATTTACATCCTCCATTGGAGCAAAAAACATATTTACACCCTCCGAAAGTGTAAAAGGGATATAAAAGTGACTTTACACCCCCGAATTTACACCCCTCATTGTGAATGCATCACTAATGAGGGGGTGTATAACACATTTACACCTCATTTGACCGGAATCAACTGCAATGAAAGGTTGTTATACTGTTGCAAATATAGCAAGCCACCGTAAGATGGAAAAATAGGTGGAAGTTTGCATCTTTTTACATCCAAGAAGCGGGCCCCAAGTCAGAGAAAGTAAGAGAGAGAGGAAAGAGAAATGCCACGATATTTCCTGACTTTTGTTTTTTTGAGTTGCAAGATTGATGCCAACACACTCAAAGTTGAGAGATTTTTTGTAATGTCAAAAAATTGGACTTCTGCAAGGAAAGCCCAATGGCTCCAAATTCAATGGTGGAGATGGTTTTTCATTCAAAATGAAAGACCACCATTTTATACCCATCTATTTTGTCATAGAATCATATGTTCTCCAAATTTTAATTTTTTTAAGGTTCATTTATTTGGAAAAATAAACCAAACTTAACACATAGAAAATTAAGTTTAAACAATTAAAACATTAAAAAAAATAACAAGAAAATGAATTAATACAATTAAATCGAATATACATATTTGGACCTATTTAGATTAACGTCTTTTCTCATTGGAGCAAAAACATTTACATTTACCCCCCTCCTCCCTCTCCCCCCCCCCCCCCCCACCCAAGGAAATGTGAAGGGGATGTAAAAGAGGGTTTACAACCCTGAAAATACACCTCTCCATTGGTGATGCTCTCAATGTAACAATATATATAACTTTTATGACCATAGAAAAAAAATGTAGGCTTCTGACATAATGTCATTTATTTTTTGTATATAAGAAATGATTGAAGATAAAAAATAATAATAATAATAAAGTACTAAAAAGAACCAGCCACTCACATAAAAATTGAAATTAAAAAGGATGCACACTACCTTACCACCACTATTGGAGTCAACTTAAGATAATATTGATGTGTATATCTATCTATATAACTAGTTACCAAAATATGACCAAATTAAAAAATTTGGGGCCCACCCTTGAGCCGGGGCCTAGGGTGGTTGCACTAACTTCCTTGAGTCAGGGTCGGGGCTGCATAATATTCCAAATGCAGTGCCTAAATAATTATATTTGTGTTTTTTTTTTTTTTTTTTTTTTTTTTTTTTTTTTTTTTTAAATGAGAAAAGGAAAGAAAATATTTTTAAAAAGGTGATATTTAAGGACTAAATGAAACACATTTTCAAGTTCGTTTCTTCACTCCCAAGCAATAAAACAATATTTTTCTTTTCTAATAAAATGGGTGATTTTGCTTATTTTGTAGCAGTCGTGCTCTAATTTTGTGGTTAATCCCTTAATAAATGAGGCTAGTGCTTCTACATCTCGCATAACCTTTCATTGAGATAAATTTGATAATAAAAATCTCCCACAAGACGGAGGAGACACTAGCATCAATTATCACGGGATGAAGCACATAAATTCATATATAGGGTCACGATCGAGGGTCACACATAAAACCACATATTTTGACACACTTTTTTAGTCATTGAATGATAAATAATCCAATGATTAGAAATGCATCTGTTATGATTTTATTTTAAAATACTATTTACTTTTTCAAAACAGTAATGCAAACCATGTACGAGATTCATCTCTCTTCTATACATCACCTGCTTTTCTCTCTCCTTCTTTCCCTACATTGAAAGTTTGAAACTCTACCGTCTTCTCTCTCTCTCTCTCACCATTATACTTCTCCTACTTTGTTATCTTCTCCGCAAAATTCAGAAAAATATCAAAGTTTTTTAAAAAAAGCTTCTGAAATGTCAAAATGAAAATGCACACACAACTGACAAACCCCCCAAAAAAAAAAAAAAAAAAAAAAAAAAAAAAAAAAAAAAATTTTTTTAAAAAAAAAAAAAAAAAAAAAAAATGAAAGTGAGGATTTGAAGCCTTAAATTTTTACCAAAAACATAGCTTGAAGCTTGAGCCTTTCAATTAGCACATGGAAATTTTTTATTTTTTATTAACTTATTTTGTTGGGTCAATTTGGGGCCACATAAATGTGACTGATAACTCAAAAGTGTCGCATGTTAATTTGATGCCACATAGCTAGTCATGTCCGTACATATGATTTTATCTTGTTTTTGGGTGGGCTAGTGATTACGTCAAAGTCGGACTTCGACCAGTCCTTCATAAATGAAATCATAAACAAGCTAGTACATATGCATTACTTCAATCCTCAAAATTATAACTACATGTTCTTAAATGAATTATTTGTGAAATTAAACGAATTTTGGTATAATTTAATGATCTTTTTATTTTTTTTTATAAGAAAAAAAGAACTACAACAGAAAACCACACGGGCTCACAAGTACTACCAAGTCAAAATAAAACGGAACAAAACAGTTTAATGGAACAGCTTAATGATCTTTCTATGATTTGGGTTTATGTCAAAATCAAAGTAAAACTAAACAATTCACTACCAAAAGTAACTGAAATTACAATTATAGGAAGAGACAATTAACTCATGAACCAAAACAAAATATAAACTATTGAACAAAATACAATCAAAGAAGACCAAGCCCAACCTCGGCCTCTCTTGCCTCTGCATCTCTTGCCTTCCTCCTGCCTCTCCCTCTCTTGCATCTCTTGCTCCTGAGGTGGTTGCGGAATGGGGAACGTGGGTACCGGGGCCGGCGGCTTCGGCGGCACCCTTTGTCGAACGGGTGGGTCTACACTAAAACATTCACACATATTAATTACCAGATCTGTGAGAGTTCTTATCTCTAAGTGTGATTCGGTCCAAGCCTGCATGTACGGCACATTTACTAGACCACCAGCTCCAGCGTCGACATAAGGGTGAGGGAACTTGATTGACAATATCGCTTGGTCCTCGACCACCACGCGCACCTTCGGAGAGTCCCTAGGATAACCTAATGGAACCCATATTTTGATTGGGGTTTTGTAATGCTGGGCCTTATAAAAGATGGGAATGGTTCCCTTGATCACCAAAACGAGGGGTTCTCCTTTCTGAAACCTACCCCTCTTCGGAACTAATGAAGGCATGTGAAAGAGCAACTGGATAACATCGGTAAGTATTCTGTGCCTATCTTGTATAGGGTAATCAAGGCGGCCCTCACCTATTATTAGAGTAATTGCATACAGAATGAGGTTTTGCTGAAGAGTCAAGTTTGGCATCGGAAGGAGAGAATGATAAAACCGTAATCCTGACGATTGATCCATGGGAAGAGCTGGCCGAAGGAGGAAGAGAAGGCTATTATGGTGATGAGAAGAATATAATGAAATAGTGAGAGATTTATGCCGTTGGAAGTTCTTGTTATGGTGATGAGTAAAATATAGTGAAAGGGTGACAAAGTGAAGTCGATTTATATAGATGTTGGGTGACTAAGATTCCTGAAGAGATTAGAGTTTTTTATTTTATTTTAATTTTTTGCCTTTCCTCTTTTGAAAAGTTTTATGCAATTAGTTAGGGTAACCTGAGGAAGTTTAGGAATTTATTTCTTTTGTACGTTATATATCTGATTTCCCTTTTTTTTCCTGAGAAAAAATGTGATTTTGTACTTGTTTAGGTATGAGAAGTTAAAACGATGGGATGATGCTATCAAGACCTAAATCACGAAAAAGATCCCCCCCCTAAAAAAAAAGGAAAAAAAAAGGGAAGAGAGGTGGGGGTCCTTTGTTTCCTATTCTGAATTTTTTTTTTAAAGGGTAAGTTTTCGCAAGATAATTAAGTGTAGAAAAGTTAAATTCTAATTTACTCTTTTCATGCATGAAAGACGTTGCATGTTTTGACCCATTATTATTATTATTATTTTAAAACACATGATTTGACCCCAAAAACATGGTCGGACTAGTGACAAGGCTACCATGGGCTCTAGCCTAAGTAGCCTTTAAAAAATATTAAAAGATATTAAATGTATTTTTATGCGATTTCACCCTATAAAACATTACCCATTGCCTACTCAACCTATAGGCTTATAATCATCTTATATTTAATTTATTTGCTTAGTTAAGAGCATCTCCAATGACATCGGAAATGTCAAATAATACGTATCAAAATTGAATTTGATGTCTGATAATTTTAGTTAATGGAGTTATGAACTAGCGAATCGAACTTGGGTACATTAACAGGGGAGGGGGAGAGTTTGGCGCACTTTTCCATTATGGCGTCACCTTATGTGTGTAGTTTATATGATTTAATGTTTACTTTTATAAAAATATAGAAAATTATAGTAAATACTAATAAAAAAAAAAAAAAAAAAAAAAAAAAAATTAGATTTTAAGCTAATTACTTTAGCTAGCCGTTTGAAAAAACACCTGGTTCCACTGTTGCCAAAAATAAAATTATTGCATTGAAAACATACATTCTTATAGGCTGAAGGCGAGAGAAGCATGAACCAAATTGCATTCTCTAGAAGATGCCATTGCCATTACTAAACAACATAATGAATTAAATATTCTTGTGAATTTGCTGGTTTTGATTTGAATGTTTTTCTCTGGACATAAATTGGGGTTAGGTTGATACCACATGTAAAGAGATGATTCATATCATGTTAGTTTTATTTGAAATATCCTGTCACGCATTTGGCATTTGTAATGTACCCCGGGGAGGCTTCCTATTGCTATTTGAGAATAGCCAATGCCATAGAGTCAGAGGGAGCCACAGCCAAGCCACTTGATAATAAAAATAAAAAGCTTCTATTTCTAAAGTAAATAAATAAATGAAAAGAAAAGAGGGTGGAACAGAACACTCCGCCATTTCATGAGAACATTAACATGTTGTGGAACACCAATAGTTCATTGCGATCTCAAGCCAAGCAATGTTCTTTTGGACGACGGATTGACCGGACATGTATCTGACTTCGGACTAGCAAGATTTCTCCCTAAAGAAACTAGTAACGTTTCTGCAAATCAAATAAGTTCCATTGGCATAAGAGGATCAGTTGGTTATGTAGCTCCAGGTAATGTTCACAGTTTCCTTTATCCTTTCTTATACAAATACAATGAGAAGAGAGTAATTTAATTCACATTTGTAGTGATAATTTGTGATGTTTTGAACTGTAGAGTATGGCATGGGAAGTAAGGTGACAACATATGGGGATGTCTACAGCTTTGGCATTCTCTTGCTAGAGATGTTTACAGGCAAGAGACCCACTGACCACATGTTTAGTGAAGGCTTGAACCTTCATAATTTTGTCAAGGTGGCTTCTCCTGAGGGAGTTACAGAAATTGCAGATCCACTACTTCTTCAAGGAGATCACACCGGAAGGAGAACCAATGACACTCAAAAAAAGCTGAAGTGCTTGTGTTCGATCTTTCAAATTGGAATTGCTTGTTCTGTTGAATCCCCAAGAGACCGAAAGGGTATTAGTCATGTTGCCTCTGAATCGCAATCCCTTAGGGACATTCTTCTTAGGTAGGCCTGTAAACTTTCTCTGCTCTCTTGTGAAGGCTTTTAAAGATAAACATATATAAAATGAAACTTTGATGAGACATGGCGCTACGCAAAATGATGCTTGTTAGAAGCATTGATGACGCACTCTTCCAAAAACCATAGTATTTCATTAAATAGCAGAAAAATACACACCCAAAAAAATTCTACAAACTCAATGTGAAACTTTCTACATCTTTTGAGTTCAGCTTAAAACATTCATAAAAGTGCTAATGAAGACTTCTTAGTCAAAAAATAAAAATAATATTATGAAGCTTTAGTGAATAATAAATGAAGATATGTGGAAGCTCTAGTGAATCCTTTTGAAGTGTTTACGAAAGATATTTTGGTGGCAAACAAGTAATGATGCAGCATTGCAATTATGACTTGTGCCATTTCTCTATTATTTGTAAAATTTATAATTTGTAAAAATTATAAAAATATGATGTTGAAGCTCTAGTGAATCCTTTGAATCGTTTACGACTCATATTTTATTGTGAATTTTAATCCTAACGTTTATCTATAGAAATTGCTTGATTACAGGACTGTACTCGCCTCTATGAAACATAGTTCAAACCCAGATTCCACTTTATACCTGCAACATACAAAGTTTACATAAGATATACTAAAACTATTACGAAAACATGAAGATACAGACCTGATACCCATATCCACACTACTCACACTATCATTAACACATTAAGACACAAAAATGATATCTACTAACACTATTGTCAACACATTAAGATACAGAAATGATATCTACTAACATTTTTGTCAACACATTAAGATACAAATGATACCTACTAACGCTATTGTCAATACATTAAGATACAGAAATGATACCAAATTGGAGGGAAAAACAAGCTGCACAGAGAAGGCAGTAGAGCATTAGAGAGCCACATAGTAGACAAAAATCCACAATCATGGGGTTATTATAACTTTGAACTCTAGAAACTGCCTTTTTATTTTCATTATCAAACAAAAATAAAAAGGTGTCAAATTTTCTTTTATATGTTTTCCTATAGTCACAACAATCTCATTCTGTTCTCTTATATCTGTCACAAACCTCAACACCACCAACTACCACCTATAATTAGTCAAACCATGGACCTCATTTTCGACTGAGGAGAACGACCACATATTTTAAAAGGCTGAAGGACTGTGATCTTACTACTTGATTATTTATAAACAGATAACCAATGAGCTCATACCAATAGTGGAAAGAGGTGATTAAGCTCTCCAGTATCCTAATATTAACGTTTTATATTTTACTTTCAACACATGAAATACACCTAGATCAAAGACTCAAATGATTTACTGAAACTAAAACACAAAACCTAGAAATTTCATAGCTTTGCTCTGAATCTGTACATCCATACATAGTCCATACACACAAATGCATACACATGGAAATTTGATATAGAAAATGAATCTCAAAGACCCTTGCTATAGAAAATCATGTAAGACTGAAAAATAAATCAGATATAGTCTTTAGGAAACTCACAATACCTCTTGATCACTTACATGATGAAGGGATGCTTGCTTCAATGACAGATGCTTCTGCAACTCTACGATCTCCTTATGCAGTACAATCAATGGGGCTAGAGGGGGTGGATTCTGCAGTTCGATTGATAGAGCAGGCACCTATCATATTTATAACTGAAGTGGTGTGTTCTTCAGAGATTTCTTCCCATTAAAGAAATCTGTCAAAGTATTCTCGAGCACGAGTCTTATCTCCATGTTCTGCACTTATTAACACATAAAATATGATATCCTTGTGTTTATTCCTCATCAAGTAGCTCTGCACATGGTCTTTTACTATTCTGTATAGCTTTACAGCTGTGATTACATTTTAGATTAATACAAAACCAACAGATCAAAATGATGTATGAATCCCAACTTTAACCGTACATATCATGTATTAATCCTTGTACAAATAGGACTCCTTTAGCTCAATTGTTTAATCTGCCCTTACACTCTCTGTATGAGCAACAAGGTGAGTTGTAAATGGACTCTACTTCTGCGTTTGAGTTTATTCCACTAGGATGAGTGTAAAGCCCTCATTTATGCTTATAAATCAATCCCAAAGTGGCAGTATTTAAACTAGATTATAAAGAAGAATCAAAGAAAACCCATTTAAGCCAATACCAAATTGAATTCATATACAGAGCAATTTTACATATAACCCATCAAACTATAAATTAGAGAAATGTACCTCGTCGTTCCCATTTGGTTGCTTCTGAAACCAATTGATGTTCAGCACCTAAACGGACCCAACAAGCAAAATCAAACTGGGTATTCTAATTCAAACTTTTTAAATCCTAGATCTACCAAAGAAAAGAGAAAGGACCTGGACTTGGGAAGTGGGAGTGGGGGGGTTGGGGGGGTTGAGATTATCAGAGATAGAGGCCATGGCACGCATGAGGGCCAAAATTATGATTGCGAAGGTTAGCAAAGCATTGGCTCTGTACCCAGATTTCCAAAGTTGGGCTGGAGGAGAGGAACTTGTAGCTGATTAAGTTGTGGGGATGTGAGGAAAGGGGTGAGTAGATGCAAAGCCAGACGAGCTTGGAAGAAGAATTGACGTGAAGAAGGTGAAGAGAATGAGGACGATGAAGGGGGATAGAATGTGGGAGTTTTTGGGTTGTAAGATTTTGAGGTGGAAATTTCAAGAAAGAATTGATAGTGCATACCCAGAAAGCTATTTATCAAGAGAAGTTGGAGTCCCACATCGAAGGAATGAATAAACTTAAGGTGTTTACTCCTTTATAAATAGCTTCCCCCCCAGCCATAATTAATAAGTGTAGTTTGGCTATAATTTAATCTCATGGCCAGTTAATTCGCTTGAACGTGTATCTCTGTTTCATTGCAGATTCAGAAATTGCAGATTGAGAAACAGAGGTGCATGTTCAAGCTAATAAACTGCTCAGGGAAATGTTTCAGTGTAATTTTTTCTTTCTTTCGTCTTCAATCTTAATATAATTATAAAATTATAATCTTTTTATAAATCTTTAAAATTTAAAATATTATATATTAATTATTATTATATAATCTTTATATCTTTATATATATATATATAAAATATGTTTTATTCACTTGAATTGCTCATATTTCTTGATCTTGGTAAAACCAGAATAACAAAGCTATTTATTCTGCGTTAGTAATCTCCTCCACAGCCTTGATGTGCCAAAAATCTCCATTTGCCTACAGCTAGTTATATGCAACTGATACTATCTATTTTGACACGGTTCATACTCAGATCAAAACAAAGCAATGCATATGGAGTTTGAGAAAATACCGAGCGGATATGGGATCGTTAGATTTTAAGCTAATGACTTTAGCTAGCCGTTTGAATAAACACCTAGTTCTGCCCTGCCAAAAATAAAATTATTGCATTGAAAACATACGTTCTTATAGGCGGAAGGCGAGAGAAGCATGAACCAAATTGCATTCTCTAGAAGATGCCATTGCCATTACTAAACAACATAATGAATTAAATATTCTTGTGAATTTGCTGGTTTTGATTTGAATGTTTTTCTCTGGACATAAATTGGGGTTAGGTTGATACCACATGCAAAGAGATGATTCATATCATGTTAGTTTTATTTGAAATATCCTGTCACGCATTTGGCATTTGTAATGTACCCCGGGGAGGCTTCCTATTGCTATTTGAGAATAGCCAATGCCATAGAGTCAGAGGGAGCCACAGCCAAGCCACTTGATAATAAAAATAAAAAGCTTATATTTCTAAAGTAAATAAATAAATGAAAAGAAAAGAGGGTGGAACAGAACACTCCTCCATTTCATGAGAACATTAACATGTTTTGGCAATCCCATCAGGTTACCCAAAAAGAAAGTTCAATTAACAAAAGAAAGCAATAAAACAGACCTTATATTGAAAGTACCTTAATTTTGTTAAACATGCAAAAGGGACACCTAAAGAAACAAAAGACACAGCTATGCAAATATGCAGATACAAGACCTAGTGCCATCTGCATGCCAATTCAATCCTATGAAGCCAAAAGTGTTTCCACCTTTGCAATTTGATCCTCTTCATTTTTCGGTGTTGGGCTCCTGTTGGCCTCATGATATAAATCATGCTTCCATTTCTCACCGCGACCACCACTAGATTGAAACCCTTGTCTCCCACTGAATCTATCTCTTCCTCTATAGTTGCGGCCGGCACCATCAGTGTACCTTTCTCTCGAAGGAAAGGAACCCTGCTGTGCCTCTCCCCTGTAAGGCAACCTCTCTCCTGTAAATTGCTTCTCAGATCTATCCAAGTGGCGTGGGTTGTTGCCTCTTTCCTCCCTTTTTCTACTTCCTTCTGCATCAGGATGGTTTGACTTTGCAATCTCTGCAGTTGTTTTGTCACCATTTTCAGACTCCAGTGGAATCTTCTTCTCCCTGAATGCAGGTCTTTTCCTTTCCGGTGGTGGATTAGCCTCCATTTCAAAGAACCCATTATGGCGCCAGGTCCTGTTTTCATCCCCCTTGGGTTTCTCATTTTTTGGCCGTGAATCATTAGTTGTTGTCTTGCTCACTGTCCTATCATCATACCTATCCTTGGAATCCCTCCACGATCCACGTTCTAAAATAGAACAGGAAAAGTAAATTACGCTACTGATACTGCAAATGATATTTTCCAACACAAGAAAAATAACAGACATACGTTGCATAGATTATGATGAAAATAGCATGAACCTAGAAAAGAAAGGGGTTTTCCTTTCTTTTTTCTTCAGTATGATATTTAAATTTTAACATGTGAAAAGGAATGGCGATTAATAATTGAATAAAAAATTAAGATAAGAAATCTCACCGGCAGCTGAACCACGACGAGAGCTTCGATCAACTTGCCTGGCATTACCACGCTCATCGTGCTGCTATAAGACATGCACAGGCAAGTCTAATATTGTTATATACAAGGATGAACTTGAAGGAATAGGGCCGATCAAGAATCCCGCTACATCAGCCCCGAAAAAAGGTTTTCATACACTGGATAGCAACCATATGAGTAAACTCAACAGAATTTCAGGTTATTAGACGAGCAATTTCCAAGTCATGGTGGAAATAAGGTTTAAGCATGTCTTCCAAAAGTGTTTCATGTCAATTCAATTGAAAGGAAACGTAATAAAGTTACAGTAGTTTCTTGTCCAGTTCTGCCAACTCATCTAGTAAGAAATATCTTACTTTTGAAGTAAAAGTTAATCCCCTAAACCACATAATAAAATGTAGAGTAATAACAATCACTTACTACAACCTGCTAATGCCTAACGATAAAACCACAGAAATGTAAGTGAACAACTTTAAGCCTCCTAAATTGCTCTAAACTGAGGAAAAATATGCACACAACTTTGGAAGGTAGTGGATGAGCTCCTATGGCAGTTCCTACAGCATACAGACTAAGGACACATTTAATACAGAAGACAGTTTCCCGTCATAGACTCTGAAGTTAGACACAGCCAAAAAAACATAAATAAACACAAGTTGCAATTCAGTAACTTACAATTTTGCAAGACGGTACAATTATTATCACTAAGCTAAAATATCTTCAGCAATAAATATTTTACAAGATGATCTAGACATAGAATCAGAATCCTAGAAACACAGGATTCTGAAGATGATATGCGTGCTAGAGATTAGCTCATCATTATACAATAAAAGCAAAACATGTCGATAAGATTCATAAATCTATACCCCACCTGAAAATAAGATCGTGACCGGGGTACATCAGTTGGATCAGAAGAGAGTTTGGTTCCTTCTAGATGTCCACTGGGTTTCTTATCAGACTCTTTTCTGGATGCCCCCTTTTCAACCTTCGAGTCAGTTGCTAATGGGGATTCAAGTGGCAATGTATCTTGCAGCCTGGGCTGGTGCTTTTGATCCTGGTCAGACTGCTTTGCACTTTCCGAATTACTTTTGCTGGTGACTCTCTCTTTTTCGTCTTTTCCATCCCTCCTAGACCTCTTAGGACTAAGAAAACCCATGAAAATCATTAAGAATGACATTTAAAAAAAAAAAAAAAAAAAAAAAATATCTTATCTCATTATAACCATGTTACAGACATTTTCCAGAGACAAATCAACTTTTAAATAACCTCTTTCAAACCCAAACTTAAATGAAGACTTAAGCAGAGCCTTACCACATAAAGCTAGAATCTTTTAATCAAATACGCATAAAAATGAAAGATTTACCTTGTTTAAGGCCACATATTTTTCCTTCTAAAATCTAACAAAACACATAAAAATACAAGCTTAAATTCATATATTTTCAATTTTTTCATTATTGAAAATCTCCAATGTTCTTCATTTATCTCATAAAATTGATAAAGCCAAAACTGAAAGAGAAAATAACGCAGAATAAATAGTTTTGTTAATACTATCATAATTCAAATTCACTACAACACTACAGCTTTCAGAGCAGTAACTCAGTTTTAATGCATTAAATCCTTAAACCCATTTAAGTCCCAAATTTGATTCACACACGCATGTTATGCAGAGACAAATGATACCTGGGTTCTCTGTCAAATCTGGAACGATGTCGTCTTGAGTCGGAATCCCGACTGTCTCGTCGCGACATAGGGTTGTGGGAATTGGGGAAGAGAGAGAGAGAGAGAGAGAGAGAGAGAGAGAGAGAGAGAGGACTGAGTCCTTGGAAGTGTGGGCAGAGAAGTGTAGCTTAGGGTTGCTTCGTATCAGTTGCGGGCGTTTGTATTTTGCGTGAGAGATGCGATTTTGACCGCAGGATTAGGGCCGGAAATTTGATCACAATTAAATACTCGGATTCGTGCCACGTCAAACTTTTCTTTTAATCCTTTTTTCTTTTCTGCTAGGATTGATATGGATATCTTTCTTCTTTTTATGCTTTTTTGCCGACGTTTAGTAAGGGAAAAGGGAAAACTCATACACACAATACAAATAAGCTTGAATCACTTGGAAGCACACCAAAGGTATGAGGCAATTCAACTAATGAGATTGAATTCAAGATCACAATTTGTTGTACTATAGCATGGATTTAATTTGGCTTTGGTTAATTTTGCCTTTTCTTTTCTTTTAAAATCAACGAGTGAGAGGATTCAAACATGAGTCCTCTTCTAACATTTCAAAGAAAAATATCACTATATCAAGAGCTAGTTGACATCAAACATTATCTTAGAGACGATCAGTCAATCATTGTTTTTTTTTAATCAACCTTTTAAATTCTTTGTAGGTTAAATGATTTAGTGAGGTAGGGTTTTTCCATGTTAATAACCCCCTTATTGTAAGAAAATTGTACATCTTTCTTGGAACATCTCCAAGGGAGACGTCAAATGCAAAATGTTAAATTTGAATTTGATGGCTTATGTGGCAATTTGACACTTTGGAAAAAAATTAACTCCACCTGAAATGCCAAATATTATATTTTTAAAAGTAAATAGGGTCCATATGATGCATAAAGTTTTAAAAGAGAGTAAATGATAGTGAGGTCCATGACCAAAAAAATATTAAAATAATATTTGGCATTAAGCTTTTTGATATGTTATTTTTGACATCTCTTCTTGCCTTCAAATTCATGTAGGATTTGACTACTCGGTTGGAGCAGCATGAAAACAGCTTTAACATTCAATGTTTGTCATTTCATGTTCATGCAGTAATTTGACATATTGGTTAGAGATACTCTTAGGCTACTCCAAAATATATTTCAATGATCAAATACATCTATATTTTACATCATCCTTGTGAGAAAATCATCCCCACCTGAAGTTGTTTGGTTATCTAAAATGTGAAAAATAAAATGCATTCATTAGATAAAATTAAAACGAATATGTAGATAATCAGATGACAAAGTTCAACGCCCCTAACCAACTGCCATCCACGTCTGCACTGCACAATGAGAAAAGTCCATATTCGCGGAAGCCTCTGCTCAACTGAGACAAAACCAAAAGTACAAGTGGACAGAATCAGAGCTATGACAAGACAACTGGAAATCTCCAACTAGTCAACCAAGACTTCTTTTTATTTATACAAGTCTGGTTAGGTCGATCAGGAAAATTGTGTGAGTGAAACTCCTCTGGTCGTCTCCTAAGGTCAATTGGAGTCTCTGCCAAGAACAATGAGCAAGTCTAACCACAAAAACAAGAGCAAACCCACAAGCAAGGGACCTCCATGTTTCTCTGAGTTTGGTCAGAAAGCTAAAGGTTCTCGCTTTAATTCTTCTCTACTTTTCTAAGTCTTTCATGTATGTTGATCTATTAATCTGTTAAACTCTTACTGAAAAATAATGGGTAGGATCTCTTTCCTCTTTGAGATTTGTGGATTTTCTCTGTATATCCCACCGAAAAATCTGTTTCTTTTTCTCTTGTTTTCTTTACTTTGAATACACAGATGGTCCTATTTTTCTTTTCTTGCATTGCAAGAAGCCTATTAGAGTTTTGTCGTAAACTTACCTCTTTTGGTAGGCTTGCTTACCAGTGGATATTCCAGGAGCCAGAATTTAGCTTCACAACCCACAGTGATGGTGGAGTGGTATGTTCTTATCATGTCACTCCCTTCAAGCAGTTAAACAGAAACTGAGTACGTTCTGGATTGTTTTCAGAAAATTACTTCAACCGCGGCAAAGAAGGGAGGTTGCTCAACTGCAGCTGTGGCAGGAGCACATACACATACAAGAATGCAAATTTTGACTGTCGAATCGATACGGATTCAAAAGTGGGTGTGGCTATATACAACTTACTGTTACCTCAGAAGTTTCAATTTGTGTGATCTTCATTTGTAATTAGCATTTTGTATTTACCCTTGTTATGACAGATTACTGGAACCCTAACTTTAAATGAGAAGTTTCTGTCAAGCACGAATACTAGCGCTTCATTCAGCTTGCCTGATTACCAATCAAGCAAGGTACTTGGTCTCACTATTGCATATTGGAAAGAAAAAAGAATATATATTCAATCATGTTGTGATTACTTCTGACCTGAAAACAGCTCTTAAAAATTTATCATGGCTCAGATGATTACCTTTTTGTACTGGCTCAGCTGATCACTAGTGAGAAAGTTCAAACAAATTGAAAATTGTCACTGCTAATTCAGAATTTCTACTGTGAGGACAATAGCTTTCTAGCTTCTGCCAACCTTTATTTGAGACATTTTTGGTTTGAAATACTACAAGAATTGGTGCTCTAGTTAGGAAATATGTGACAGGAAAAAGAAAATTTCTGTGACAGAAATCGCTCATTTCCTCGGGACACATATTTCTACTTGCCACTAAACCTTTGAACAGATTGTTTTTTGAAGGGACACAGACTAGTCACCCTATCTTATCCCGCACAACAATAATTACTATTCTGAACTAAAAAACAACTCACCCATCTTGGTTTCAGCTCCGGGTTCGAGTACGCCAAGAATATGCTGCTCTGTCCACATCTGTGGCTTTGAACAAGTCCCCTGCAATAACATTTTCAGCAGCTGTAGGGAGTTCAAGCATTGCCCTTGGTATGGAGACACAGTACAAAACTGCTTCTAGCTCTTTCTCCAAGTGCAGTGCAGGCATTTACATGAAGAGTCTCAATTCTGATGCTTCAATAATTCTGTAGGTCTTTTCATTTTGAAGTAACATGACATTAATAAAAGAAATTCAATAATAAGTTCAAATTACAGTTCCGATACTTATAAGTTACAACTGCAGCATTTCATGGGAGAACCTCTACAACTATAATGATAGTTGCTCAGTTAACTAAATTTTTTAACAAATATAACAAGTTTTGTGGAGGCCAAAGTGCAGATTTGAATTACAGTCATTATGTCACCGTGCTAAAGGAAAAGTATGACACTAATATCCTATCGTTGTGAAATTTTTTAGGGCAAACAAAGGTGACTTGCTAACAGCATCATGTGTTCTTTATCTCAATAAACAAAAGAAGCATGCAGCAGTGGTAGAGTTCACTCAAAAGCTGTCAACAAAGAGAAACACCTTGACAGTTGGAGGATCATATGCTGTTGATCATCAAACAGTAGTGAAAGCCAGACTTGATGATCACGGAGAGTTTAAGACTGTTCTACAGTACAATGTTAGACCCAAGTCATGCCTGGCTATCTCTGGTGAATTCAACACCAAGGCACTTGACAAGATTCCTAAAATTGGGTTGGCACTTTCTCTTGTTCTTTAAATGATTTCTCAATTTTCATATGCCACTGGAGCAATTTCTTTGTCCCCAACTGATAATTTGTCGGTTGGGCAATATGACCAATAGATCTGTATGATTTTGTCAAGTTAAGAAAGTTGCTGATTCAACAGCTCTACTACTAGTGTTTAAAGCAATCTGCATATTATTTTAACGACAATTGTAAACTCTCATATAAAGAGGAAGTCACTTACAATCAAATCTAAACTACTTTTGCATCGCCAGTGGCTTGGAACTTATTGTACCCCTCATGTGAGCCTTGGCGCCATCATACAAGTACTTTAGAGCATCCAGTTTTTCTTTTTTGTCTGATTATCTAGTTCAAGCCCAGAATTGAACAGCAGGAGAAGCTCCGGGAAACACAAAAATCTTCTCATCCAGTTAGGCTACATGGAAGCCAAGGGGCTAAAACAGTGCTTCTGCTTCAGACCAATACACCAGCTCAAGAAAACTGATGTTTATTGCTCAGACAGCACTTCCATTTCAGTACAGAGTTCCAGCCATCACATTCAGCAATTTGCATGCATTAGAAACAACTCAAACAATCGATTGTGGTCGAATCACTTTCCAGATTTGAACCTGGTGCACCATTTGATCAGTAGGTCTTCAACACTGGCATCCATTCGGGTCCCAATTCCTCCCCAGACCAACATGTGGGCATAGTCTCCAAATGTCGAACCGGTTACTTCATGCACAGCCTTAAATCCGATTCTTGAATAGAACCTGACAAGCTGAGAAGTAAATAAGCAACCAGTTCAGATTTAACATCAAATCAAGTAATCCAGTCCAGTGCATTTCTTATATAAATTCTACAACTTATTTCTGACAATGCTATTTAACCTTAATGCAACTCATCAAATATCTTCACCCCAAACACCAACAAAATAGCTCGCAGAAAGTACACTTATCATCCACTACAAAGCAGGCTTTATCACTAAGAGAACAATCTCATCCACAAAATAAAGGATACTTGGAATTTAAGCAAATGAAAGGCTTCACCATTGATGTACAGAATATTAAAATTAAAGGCTGAAAAAAGTGCTATAGCATCCAATAACAGAATAAAACCAGAAGAAACATGATAAAAAGAACCTTGTGGTGGAAAATGTCAGAGTCATTGATGGCAAGTAACTCAGCTGTTCTGCAACTACAATCGTAGCCATATCGAATGGCAACAGCTCCAATGAACAAGCCAATGCCAAAGATTGACTTCTCCATCCCCAGTGTCTCTCTCTGTAATCTGATTGACTCCAAGTGAAGGATTTTCCCACTAAGCCAGAACCTTATCAGTCCCTCAGCCTTGCCAAGCTCCTTCTGTGTCTGCAAGCTCTTGGCTGTGATTCTGAAAAAGGGTCCTAGAGTTTGGAGCTGAAGGTCAAGGTTTTGGGCTCTTGATGAGGCCAATATCTCAGACATGGTTGGCATCTTTTGAGGTACTTGAAAGCATTCCTCCGTAGCTATATGACTATCTTAGTTTTTGTGGCTCCTTTTTTCGGTTTTAGATGCCATCAGTATTTCATTCTATAAATTTTAAAATGCCTTACAATCTACAGGTTCGCACCAGAGCTGTGACTTCGCAAAAAAATATATGCTCAACTGAGGACATTATGAAGCATGCTTCAAAGTTGCTTAAGGCTGAACTTCCTGTTTCCTTAAGGCTGATAGGTTGAGTGTGTACATTATATACAAGCATTATACAAATATGAATAGCGTATGTTATATCGTATACTTAGTTGATCTAATAAGGACCCAACTTAAGGACCTTAAGGACGGATAAGATGCATCTCATTCACTCTCATCCATGGCATCTCAGGTCTCAACGAACCATATCCAGTATAATGAGTGAGATGTAAATCTGATCCATAGTTTGACAACTCAATGTCAGACTGTCAATCAAGACCACACATTTAAACATGATCAGTAGTTGTAATTCTCTCTGACAACATAACGTGTCAAATTTTCTGGCAAGAGACCTTACCAAACATATAATAATAATACATAAGTCAGAAAGGGAATTTTAAATAAAAGCTCAATCTTACTCCCGTATGTCTTAGAGTTAACAGAGCTTTATTTTCATCTATTATCAGGCCTACGGTTGTCTCACTTTGATGAAGAAAAGGTTGGTGCTCCTTCTGATCCCACACAAAAAACTCTCACTGACTTTATGCTATCAGGAGATGCTTTAAGGAAAAATATGGGCAATCAAAGCTCCTTGGACTTGGATTCTACTGATCACTGCATGATGCATGGTGAAGAAACTTGCTTATCTAAAGACGGACATCAAACATCTTCTCGTGATTATAGAGATCCTCTTGATGAAAATCATTTATCAAATTTTGATGACAGTAAGTCTACTTCGGGCAATTTTGAAGAATAGGAAGAAATTTATGAATTGACAAGCAATGCAAAGGCAGAAAAGGTATGTGTGGTGAAAGGCATGCTGATGGTTATTCTTCTTGACACTGAAAAAATCACTCAGCTCCATAAATATTGAAAAAGCATTTGTAGTTTCGAGAAGTTGCATAACTCACTAGATTTTCGTAGTGCCACCTGTTCTAGCTGGCTTCTATCCGACAGTACCCATTGTTGGGACCAGGTTATTCTTTTCCTGACCAGTTTGAGGGCAGTAGCCTAGACAGAGTGAATAGTGTAACTAAAACCTTTGGGGATGTGGCAAGTTCTTCAGAAAGAGTTCCTTTTGTGGGTGAAATGACTACAAGTGTTCGATCTGCGGGATAGAAATGCCACCAAGCTTTGTTGAGGAAAGGCAAGAGCACTTTGATTTTCATCTCGCTGAGAAGCTTCAGAAAGAGGAATCTGGGACTGACTTCAAAACTTGTGTTCTGAATTATGAGATGAGAGGGTTGTGGATGCTAGGTAGTTGCAGCAGTCCCACATCGACAAAAAGAAAAACTTCAGGCTTTTTTCTTTTATAAATAGCTCCAACCACAACAATTATCTACAAGTGTAGTTTGGCTTCAATCCAATCTCATGGCCAGTTAATTCGCTTGAATCCATGCCTCTGTTCCATTGCAGATTGAGAAATAGGGGTGTGGATTCAAGCTAATAAACTGCCCAGGGAAATGTTTTAGCATAATTTTTTCTTTCTTCATCATCTTAATTAATTATAAAATTATAATCTTTAGAATTTAAAATATTATATAATCATTATTATTATATAATCTTTTAATCTTTATATTATCTTTATAATATATATAATAAATTTTATATTATGACTTAATATTATAATATCATGATGAGTGTTTTATTCACTTGAATTGTTCAATATTTTCTTGACCTTGGTAAAACTGTGATAGATCATCTATTAAGATGAGCATTGGGTTTCAAACACAACAGAGAGAGCTTTAGAGAGAGTGGCTCCCTCTTCCCTCTAGAATTTCTCTCGTTCCCATCTTCCTCTTCTGAGCTTCGGGGTGGCTCCTTTGCCACAATCGTAGCCATATCGAATGGCAACAGCTCCAATGAACAAGCCAATGCCAAAGATTGACTTCTCCATCCCCATTAGAGGAAGGTCCATGAGAACCGACAAAGGAGATCTGAAGAGCGTGGATTTGGGGAAGCAAGCCACCACCGTGCATCAAGCTCAAGCGATCTGTGGATTGGTCAAAGATGACCATTAAACTACAGAGCCAACTCCTCCAGAGCAAAAGCTCTGATTTGAGGATGGATTGTAGGAGATGAGCAGCAACCTATGAAAAAGGAAGGGTTTTAGGGTTAAAGAGTTTGTGGGAGGGGAAGATAAGAGGGCTGAAGGGGGGTAGGTGGATGAGAGGAGAAGAGGGAGAGAGAGGTGAAATGGTTGTAAAGGAGTGGGAGAGAAGAGATTGAGGAGATCTGGGCCAACATTAAGGAAAACAGAGGAGAAAAAACACACCAAACTAAACGAAAGCAAAAGTAAAAGCCACACAAGAGGGTGGCAGAGAGGTCACACGAGAGGTGGCAGAAGAGCCACCCCGAAGGGTGGCGGCATAGCCAAAAGCTCAGATGAGGAAGATGGGAACGAGAGAAATTCTAGAGAGAAGGGGGAGCCTCTCTCTAAAGCTCTCTGTTGTGTTTGAAACCCAATGCTCATCTTAACAGCAAAGGATAGTCTATCACAGTTTTACCAAGGTCAAGAAAATATTGAGCAATTCAAGTGAATAAAACCCTCGTCATGATGTTATAATATCAAGTCATAGTATAAAATATATTATATATATTATAAAGATAATATAAAGATTAAAAGATTAAAAGATTATAAAATAATAATGATTATATAATATTTTAAATTCTAAAGATTTATATAAAGATTATAATTTTATAATTAAATTAAGATTGATGAAGAAATAAAGAAAAAATTATGCTGAAACATTTCCCTAGGCAGTTTATTAGCTTGAATCCACACCCCTATTTTTCAATCTGCAATCGAACAGAGGCATGGATACAAGCGAATTAACTGGCCATGAGATTGAATTAAAGCCAAACTACACTTGTTGATAATTGCTGGGGTTGGAGCTATTTATAAAAAAAAAAGCCTGAAGTTTTTCTTTTTGTCGATGTGGGACTGCTGCAACTACCTAGTACCCACAACCCTCCCTTCTCAAAGTATACCTTGCTTCTCAACAATTGTGGCACTACATCCTGTACATTGTTCTCATTCTGATTGTCATTGGCATTCATCTGGGCATATGAAAAAAAGCATGAAAATCTAGTGAGTTATGCAATAAAAGCAAAACACGTTGATAAGATTCATAAATCTATACCCCACCTGAAAATAAGATCGTGACCGGGGTACATCAGTTGGATCAGAAGACTTAAGCAGAGCCTTACCTCATAAAGCTAGAATCTTTTAATCAAATACGCATAAAAATGAAAGATTTGGCTTGTTTAAGGCCACATCTTTTTCCTTCTAAAATCTAACAAAACACATAAAAATACAAGCCTAAATTCATATATTTTCAATTTTTTTATTATTGAAAATCTCCAATGTTCTTCATTTATCTCATAAAATTGATAAAGCCAAAACTGAAAGAGAAAATAACGCAGAATAAATAGTTTTGTTAATACCATCATAATTCAAATTCACTACAACACTACAGCTTTCAGAGCAGTAACTCAGTTTTAATGCATTAAATCCTTAAACCCATTTAAGTCCCAAATTTGATTCACACACGCATGTTATGCAGAGACAAATGATACCTGGGTTCTCTGTCAAATCTGGAACGATGTCGTCTTGAGTCGGAATCCCGACTGTCTCGTCGCGACATAGGGTTGTGGGAATTGGGGAAGAGAGAGAGAGAGAGAGGAGAGAGAGAGAGAGGACTGAGTCTCTGGAAGTGTGGGCAGAGAAGTGTAGCTTAGGGTTGCTTCGTATCAGTTGCGGGTGTTTGTATTTTGCGCGAGAGATGCGATTTTGACCGCAGGATCAAGGCCTGAAATTTGATCACAATTCGTGCCACGTCAAACTTTTCTTTTAATCCTTTTTTCTTTTCTGTTAGGATTGATATGGATTTCTTTCTTCTTTTTATGCTTTTTTGCCGACGTTTAGTAAGGGAAAAGGGAAAACTCATACACACAATACAAATAAGCTTGAATCACTTGGAAGCACACCAAAGGTATGAGGCAATTCAACTAATGAGATTGAATTCAAGATCACAATTTGTTGTTCTATAGCATGGATTTAATTTGGCTTTGGTTAATTTTGCCTTTTCTTTTCTTTTAAAATCAACGAGTGAGAGGATTCAAACATGAGTCCTCTTCTAACATTTCAAAGAAAAATATCACTATATCAAGAGCTAGTTGACATCAAACATTATCTTAGAGACGATCAGTCAATCATTGTTTTTTTTTAATCAACCTTTTAAATTCTTTGTAGGTTAAATGATTTAGTGAGGTAGGGTTTTTCCATGTTAATAACCCCCTTATTGTAAGAAAATTGTACATCTTTCTTGGAACATCTCCACGGGAGACGTCAAATGTAAAATGTTAAATTTGAATTCGATGGTTTATGTGGCAATTTGACACTTTGGAAAAAAATTAACTCCACCCGAAATGCTAAATATTATATTTTTAAAAGCAAATGGGATCCATATGATGCATAAAGTTTTAAAAGAGAGTAAATGATAGTGAGGTCCATTACCAAAAAAAAGTTAAAAAAATATATGGCATCAAGCTTTTTGATATGTTATTTTTGACATCTCTTCTCGCCTTCAAATTCATGTAGGATTTGACTATTCGGTTGGAACAACTTTAACCTTCAATTTTTGTCATTTCATGTTCACGTGGCAATTTGACATATTGGTTAGAGATGCTCTTAGGCTACTCCAAAATGTATTTCAATGATCAATCAATAAATCTGTATTTTACATTATCCTTGTGAGAAAATTATCCCCACCTGAAGTTGTTTGGTTATCTAAAATGTGCAAAATAAAATGCATTCATTAGATAAAATTAAAACGAATATGTAGATAATCAGATGACAAAACAATTTTAGATGCAATGGGTTCAACGACCCTAACCAACTGCCATCCACGTCTGCACAGCACAATGAGAAAAGTCCTTATTCGGGGAAGCCTCTGCTCAATTGAGACAAAACCAAGAGTACAAGTGAACAAAATCAGAGCTATGACAACTGGAAAACCCCAACTAGTCAACCAAGAATTTTATTTATTTATACACGATCAGGAAAATCGTGTGAGTGAAACTCTTCTATTTTTGATCTGGTCGTCTCCTAAGGTCAATTGGTGTCTCCGCCAAGAACAATGAGCAAGTCTAACCACAAAAACAAGAGCAAACCCACAAGCAAGGGACCTCCATGTTTCTCTGAGTTTGGTCAGAAAGCTAAAGGTTCTCGCTTTAATTCTTCTCTAGAAGTCTTTCATGTATGTTAATCTGTTAAAATCTTACTGAAAAATAATGGGTAGGATCTCTTTCCTCTTTGAGATTTGTGGATTTTCTCTGTATATCCCACCGAAAAATCTGTTTCTTTTTCTCTTGTTTTCTTTACTTTGAATACACAGATGGTCCTATTTTTCTCTTCTTGCATTGCAAGAAGCCTATTAGAGTTTTGTCGTAAACTTACCTCTTTTGGTAGACTTGCTTACCAGTGGATATTCCAGGAGCCAGAAATTTAGCTTCACAACCCACAGTGATGGTGGAGTGGTATGTTCTTATCATGTCACTACCTTCAAGCAGTTAAACAGAAACTGAGTATGTTCTGGATTGTTTTCAGAAAATTACTTCAACCGCGGCAAAGAAGGGAGGTTGCTCAACTGCAGCTGTGGCAGGAGCATACACATACAAGAATGCAAATTTTGACTGTCGAATCGATACGGATTCAAAAGTGGGTGTGGCTATATACAACTTACTGTTACCTCAAAAGTTTCAATTTGTGTGATCTTCATTTGTAATTAGCATTTTGTATTTACCCTTGTTATGACAGATTACTGGAACCCTCATTTTAAATGAGAAGTTTCTGTCAAGCACGAATACTAGCGCTTCGTTCAGCTTGCCTGATTACCAATCAAGCAAGGTACTTGGTCTCATTATTGCATATTGGAAAGAAAAAAGAATATATATTCAATCATGTTGTGATTACTTCTGACCTGAAAACAGCTCTTAAAAATTATCATGGCTCAGATGATTACCTTTTTGTACTGGCTCAGCTGATCACTAGTGAGAAAGTTCAAACAAATTGAAAATTGTCACTGCTAATTCAGAATTTCTACTGTGAGGACAATAGCTTTCTAGCTTCTGCCAACCTTTATTTGAGACATTTTTGGTTTGAAATACTACAAGAATTGGTGCTCTAGTTAGGAAATATGTGACAGGAAAAAGAAAATTTCTGTGACAGAAATCGCTCATTTCCTCGGGACACATATTTCTACTTGCCACTAAACCTTTGAACAGATTGTTTTTTGAAGGGACACAGACTAGTCACCCTATCTTATCCCGCACAACAATAATTACTATTCTGAACTAAAAAACAACTCACCCATCTTGGTTTCAGCTCCGGGTTCGAGTACGCCAAGAATATGCTGCTCTGTCCACATCTGTGGCTTTGAACAAGTCCCCTGCAATAACATTTTCAGCAGCTGTAGGGAGTTCAAGCATTGCCCTTGGTATGGAGACACAGTACAAAACTGCTTCTAGCTCTTTCTCCAAGTGCAGTGCAGGCATTTACATGAAGAGTCTCAATTCTGATGCTTCAATAATTCTGTAGGTCTTTTCATTTTGAAGTAACATGACATTAATAAAAAGAAATTCAATAATAAGTTCAAATTACAGTTCCGATACTTATAAGTTACAACTGCAGCATTTCATGGGAGAACCTCTACAACTATAATGATAGTTGCTCAGTTAACTAAATTTTTAACAAATATAACAAGTTTTGTGGAGGCCAAAGTGCAGATTTGAATTACAGTCATTATGTCACCGTGCTAAAGGAAAAGTATGACACTAATATCCTATCGTTGTGAAATTTTTAGGGCAAACAAAGGTGACTTGCTAACAGCATCATGTGTTCTTTATCTCAATAAACAAAAGAAGCATGCAGCAGTGGTAGAGTTCACTCAAAAGCTGTCAACAAAGAGAAACACCTTGACAGTTGGAGGATCTTATGCTGTTGATCATCAAACAGTAGTGAAAGCTAGACTTGACGATCACGGAGAGTTTAAGACTGTTCTACAGTACAATGTTAGACCCAAGTCATGCCTGGCTATCTCTGGTGAATTCAACACCAGGGCAATTGACAAGATTCCTAAAATTGGGTTGGCACTTTCTCTTGTACTTTAAATGATTTCTCAATTTTCATATGCCACTGGAGCAATTTCTTTGTCCCCAACTGATAATTTGTCAGTTGGGCAATACGACCAATAGATCTGTATGATTTTGTCAAGTTAAGAAAGTTGCTGATTCAACAGCTCTACTACTAGTGTTTAAAGCAATCTGCATATTATTTTAACGACAATTGTAAACTCTTATATAAAGAGGAAGTCACTTACAATCAAATCTAAACTACTTTTGCATCGCCAGTGGCTTGGAACTTATTGTACCCCTCATGTGAGCCTTGGCTCCATCATACAAGTACTTTAGAGCACCCAGTTTTTCTTTGTTGTCTGATTATCTAGTTCAAGCCCAGAATTGAACGGCAGGAGAAGCTCCGGGAAACACAAAAATCTTCTCATCCAGTTAGGCTACATGGAAGCCAAGGGGCTAAAACAGTGCTTCTGCTTCAGACCAATACACCAGCTCAAGAAAACTGATGTTTATTGCTCAGACAGCACTTCCATTTCAGTACAGAGTTCCAGCCATCACATTCAGCAATTTGCATGCATTAGAAACAACTCAAAAAATCGATTGTGGTCGAATCACTTTCCAGATTTGAACCTGGTGCACCATTTGATCAGTAGTTCTTCAACACTGGCATCCATTCGGGTCCCAATTCCTCCCCAGACCAACATGTGGGCATAGTCTCCAAACGTCGAACCAGTTACTTCATGCACAGCCTTGAATCCGATTCTTGAATAGAACCTGACAAGCTGAGAAGTAAATAAGCAACCAGTTCAGATTTAACATCAAATTAAGTAATCCAGTCCAGTGCATTTCTTATATAAATTCTACAACTTATTTCTGACAATGCTATTTAACCTTAATGAAACTCATCAAATATCTTCAACCCAAACACCAACAAAATAGCTCGCAGAAAGTACGCTTATCATCCACTTCAAAACAAGCTTTATCACTAAGAGAACAATCTCATCCACAAAATAAAGGATACTTGGAAATTTAAGCAAATGAGAGGCTTCACCATTGATGTACAGAATATTAAAATTAAAGGCTGAAAAAAGTGCTATAGCATCCAATAACAGCATAAAACCAGAAGAAACATGATAAGGAAACCAAAGAAAGAACCTTGTGGTGGAAAATGTCAGAGTCATTGATGGCAAGCAACTCAGCTGTTCTGCAACCACAATCGTAGCCGTATCGAATGGCAACAGCTCCAATGAACAAGCCAATGCCAAAGATTGACTTCTCCATCCCCAGTGTCTCTCTCTGTAATCTGATTGACTCCAAGTGAAGGATTTTCCCACTAAGCCAGAACCTTATCAGTCCCTCAGCCTTGCCAAGCTCCTTCTGTGTCTGCAAGCTCTTGGCTGTGATTCTGAAAAAGGGTCCTAGAGTTTGGAGCTGAAGGTCAAGGTTTTGGGCTCTTGATGAGGCCAATATCTCAGACATGGTTGGCATTGTGGCTCCAGAGCTAGCCTCTGTGTTTTTCTTGATTAGGGTAGTGGGAAATTTTACTGAAGAAACAATCTGGGTTCTACTACTTGGGATTCCTGGATTTAGTATGGAGAATTTGGAATTTGAAATCATTGATTTTGATGCTAGCTCCATTTCCCTCTTGTATTCTTTTTCTGTATGGGGTTTTCTTTAAAAATGTTTTTTGAAGGGGTTGTGGCAACAGAAAACTCCATGAACTGATTCAGAAACATTAAAAACGCCAGTATCGGTTATGTATGCGGAGATAAGTTACACGTGGCAACACCACCATCCAGCAATTGAAAAGGCGACCGTTTTGGTACGGGTTTGGGCTTTGGATAGCTCTGAAAAAATGTCCAAGATTGTTCATAAGGAACTTTTATTGTTATTTATCGGAGTCCAAATTCGAACCCAAAATGCATCTTTACAAATTTTATTACACACAACTTGTTGGATATTTTACCAAGTAGATGAAAAACCTGGATATGTACAGATTTGTACAAGAAAATAACAAATAAAATACAATTCTAGAAGTTCTGATTGCTCTTAACAAAGAACACATCAATAGGTATGTGTTTGCCTTCTTTTGGAGACGGCTTCTGCTTTTTGTGCTTTCTTTGGCTCGCAATGTGATCCTTGGGGACATTTCTGACAGAGTTTCAAGCCAAATCAATCAGACAAAACAAACTACCTCAAGATAACAAAAAGAAAGGATATGAAGAGAGGCACGTTGGAAACTCAATGAAAATATAGTATACCTTTTCTTCAGAACACAAGTTTTGAAGTCAGTCCCAGATTCCTCTTTCTGAAGCTTCTCAGCAAGATGAAAATCAAAATGCTCTTGCCTTTCCTCAACAAAGCTTGGTGGCATTTCTATCCCACAGATCGAACACTTGTAGTCATTCACCCACAAAAGGAACTCTTTCTGACTGACTGAAGAACTTGCCACATCCCCAAGGGTTTTAGTTACACTACTCACTCTGTCTAGGCTACTGCCCTCAAACTGAGCAGGAAAAGAATAACCTGGCCCCAACAATGGTGGCACTACATCCTGTACATTGTCCTCATTCTGACTGTCATTGGCATTCATCTGGGCATATGAAAAATAGCATGAAAATCTAGTGAGTTATGCAACTTCAAGAAACTACAAATGCTTTTTTAATATTTATGGAGCTGAGTGATGACTTTTTCAGTGTCAAGAAGAATAACCATCAGCATGCCTTTCACCACACATACCTTTTCTGCATTTGCATTGCTCGTCGATTCATAAATTTCTTCCTTTTCTTCAAAATTGCCCGAAGTAGACTTACTGTCATCTAAATTTGATAAATGATTTTCGTCAAGCGGATCTCTATTATCACAAGAAGATGTTTGATGTCCGTCTTTAGATAAGTAAGTTTCTTCACCATGCATCATGCAGTGATCAGTAGAATCCAAGTCCAAGGAACTTTGATCGCCCATATTTTTCCTTAAAGCATCTCCTGATAGCATATAGTCGGTGAGAGTTTTTTGTGTGGGATCAGAAGGAGCACCAACCTTTTCTTCATCAAAGTGAGACAACCGTAGGCCTGATAATAGATGAAAATAAAGCTCTGTTAACTCTAAGACATATGGGGAGCAAGATTGAGCTTTTATTTAAAATTCCCTTTCTGACATTTATACGACATATATATTATTATATGTTTGGTAAGGTCTCTTGCCAGAAAATTTGACATGTTATGTTGTTAGAGAGAATTACAACTACTGATCATGTAAAATCATGTTTAAATGTGTGGTCTTGGTTGACAGTCTGACATTGAGTTGTCAAACTATGGATCAGATTTACATCTCACTCATTATACTGGATATGGTTTTCGTTGAGACCTGAGATGCCATGGATGAGAGTGAATGAGATGCATCTTATCTGTCCTTAAGGTCCTTAAGTTGGGTCCTCATTAGATCAACTAAGTATATGATATAACATATGCTATTCATATTTGTATAATGCTTGTATATAATGTACACACTCAACCTATCAGCCTTAAGGAAACAGGAAGTTCAGCCTTAAGCAACTTTGAAGCATGCTTCATAATATCCTCAGTTGAGCATATATTTTTTTGCGAAGTCACAGCTCTGGTGCGAACCTGTAGATTGTAAGGCATTTTAAAATTTACAGAATGAAATACTGATGGCATCTAAAACCGAAAAAAAGAGTCACAAAAACTAAGATAGTCATATAGCTACGGAGGAATGCTTTCAAGTACCTCAAAAGATGCAGTCTTTAGTTTAAGAGTCAATGTTCGCCCACGAAGACCCTCCTTTTGCAAGTCAGTAGATAGCATCTCTGCAATATCCGCTGCAAGCATAAAATATACATGAGGCACTAGATGAACAGGACTTTCAATTAATTTTACGTAAAATTTAAGATAAAATGTTATCCATATAAGCTTCAAAGTCCCCACATAATGAAAATCTACATTTAGAAGTAACAGTTCGGTACATGCATCCAGACATATTACAGGACTCAGGCTGGGTAGACTCAACCCGAGACTTAATACTTATGCTAATTTCAAAACCACAGATTTGACGATATACTCTTGGGAAATGATGATAGCTTGGGATTAAATCACCTGATGACACATTCCTTGTGGAGGCTACAAATGTAGGCCTTGGATTCTTTAAGCACAAACTTTCATATAATCAATTTATTTTGATTTTCAAAATATGGGGTTCATACTTCCAACTGATCAAGTGTTCAATTGTTAATTACGTCTATGGACAACCTCCAATTATATAAGGAAACAAACCCTAATTAATATAAAATAGGACTGCATACCCAATTTACAAAAAAGAAATGCTTCATCCCCTGTAGCCGAAAATGTTCTCTCATTACTTATGCTTCTTCTTGATCTAACTTGAGGAGTATCTGTTCCCCCAATTGCAAGTCCCACAGAGAGGAAAAAATCTGAAATACATGATAGGACAAGCGGATTTAAAGGAAGCAGGTGGTGTATCTAATCACATGATCTGCCTGTAAAAGAATTTATTTATAATGATGAAGCAAGCAATAAACAGCATAGGGGAATGACAAGAGTGCTAACCTGCTGAAGAATGAGAAAATAGTGCACAAATATAGCTGCTCTTTTGCAGAATCTCCTCACATGTACTAATTCCAAGTGCATCCCTCAAGATATGTTCAGTGACTTTACCAATGCCCCCAATCTGTATAAGAGTTTACCATTCTTTATCTTCATCAGTATCTACCGTAATAATGACTTCATCACCACATAAAAGAATATTATTTTGTAAATCACAGTTGCACCAGCAAAGACACCAGTGGTACAATTCATGCTGCAACAACTGTATAAATGTTGGACAAACCTTTCGGACAGGAAGTGAGGATATAAATGTCATGACTGCCATCCGGTCATTTGGTAAAATAAACTGTCCATTTGGTTTATTTATATCTGAGCAAACCTGAGGAATAAGATAAGAAGATGCAAGTCAGCCTTATGTGTATACACAGACACACACATGTGAGATGTTCTCAAGAAAACCATCCAAATCAAATTGTAGTGTTATTATCTAATCCTAAACATAAAAAGTTTTAAGGGCAATGTCAATGCTAAATACAATATAGGTTGAGGCAATTAATTATTATATGCCCTTGCTAAATTGCCAATTCCCAGTAGGATATTTTTCTTTGCAAACCTAAGTTACCATTAGATAACTCCCAAAACAAGAAGAAAGTTCACCTTTTTTTTTCAAGCATGCATACATACATTGGCATGTATTCTAGGAATTTTTATTTATTTAGATATCTTATCGTCAAGTAGACAGCATAAGATAGCATCCACATTTATTTTATCAGTAAATGAATAAAAGCAGTATACAGTATTGAGAATACTTAAACTCATATCCAGGTAACATATTTATTCACAGAATCTGTAGGAACACCTTAGCAAGTAGACGGTTTGGTGCCACTCCAGCACTGCATGTAAGACCACCAGTCTCATCATGAACACCAGCTCTTAGTTCTCTGGCAATCTTCGAGAATGAAAAGGTTAGAAAACAAGAAGTTTAACATAACAAGTAAAAAAAAAAGGACAATGTCAATGCTAAACAAAGGCATAAGAAATGTGATATTCATATGTTGCGCCAACTAATATTATATACACTTACTTCTTCGCCAGTAGTGCCCCGTTCTTTGCAAACCTCAGTTACATCAAGATATGCTTCATCTAAACTAGCAGCCACGAAGTTAGGATCATACTTCTCGAACACTAACATAAATGATAAGTCACAACTAAAGATTAGCACCCAGCATAAAGAATATACAGTAAAAATATGCCCTTAGAAAACACCACCTAACCTTTTCTAGTTAAATCACTGTAATAAGTATACTTCTTGAAATCCGTGGGAACAAAAATTAACTCAGGACATAATTTCCGAGCAATGAAACCAGGCATCGCAGCACGAACCCCAAATCTCCGTGCCTACAACGTGGCGGGATCACATTCCCCATATACGTTCATAAGACAAATGCAGGCAGGACAAACAATTTTCAAGTATGGAATTCCATTTCAACCCAGGTTAATAACAATTGTAATGTAAAGTATTTGCACCTCATAATTAGCAGTGGAGATCATAGACATGCCACCAACGGCCATGGGCTTCCCCTTCAACGAAGGGTCGCTTAAAGTCTCGACAGCTGCATAGAAAGCATCCATATCCACATGTACCCAAATCCTTGAAAGGTCACGCGTGGCTTCAAGCTCTAAGATTATCTTATCAGCGACCTAGAAGAAGACACAATTGCAATCAAGCTCACAATTTTATAAATTTAAAAAATAAACCCAGAGAAGTAGCACAAATTGAAATGGTGGGTACTAAATTTACCGTTTGATAGTGAGCCAAATCTGCTGGTTTGAGCTTCGCACATCGAGCTCGCATGTTTTCTATCTTTTCTCTAAAGAAGGCCTCTTTGCGTTCCTCGTTTTTAAAGTACTGCGACCCTTTACTCATTTCATACACTATCCTCTGAACTTTCTCTTTGTCAACGCCTTCCATGCCTTAAATTTCAAAAATTTGCAATAAAACGAAATAAGGCTTACTCAATGAACATCCAGGTATGTAAATTTGATTGAAATTCGTAGTTCAATATCATGAACCCTGGGATTTCTTTTTCTGTAAGAGATTCTGATTTGGGTTTTGGGTGATAATACGTACCGGCTTTAGCATTGGTGTAAGCAGTGTTGTAACACTGCCAGGGCCGAGCAGTATCGCCGGAGGATTCGGTGTTCGCCATGGCCAACATTATTTCGCTCCAAAAGCTTGCTTTGCAAGATGAAGAAGACGAGGGAAAGTATGAGAATAGAATAGGGCCAGGTGCCTAGGTCCATATATCTTAATTTAAAATTTAAAACATAAAGCCCAAGAAAAATTAGCCCTGTTAAAATATTAAAACACAAAATCCAAGAAAAAGACAGCCCAAACTGTTTATTAGTGTGACTGCAGGCCCAGTTCTATTTTTATTGTGCTACTCATAAACCTTAGAATTTTAAATGAAAAACACAATAAAAATTCTTAGAAATTAGCACTCTTAAAATTTAAGTACATGTATTTTTTTAAAAATGAAGAAGTTCAACATTAGGAATCGTGAATGCACACCGACGGTCAACATTAGGAATTTTCCCCACTCTTCATAATTGTTACATATGAAATTGCGCAATGTTCTTTTCATAGTTTATTTGAATTGTCACGAGAGTAAGAAGTTCAAAAGAATGTCTCAAAGAGGCTAAGGCGGTGAGGGAACCAAGTGCCACTAAGCAAATTGGTTTGCCAACTTCATCTTACCCCTAAGAAGAATTTTTTTTTTATGGATATATCACTACTTTTTCACATTATCTTACTTGTTAATATGCAGTGTTATTATAATTCCCTATCATACTATATTAGATAGTCTTATTATAGATAATGTGTTGATATCATTGTCGTCAATAAAATGTACGGACACATTAGATCTCTTGCAAAACAACATCCTTAAAATTACTTTAAGACGTGACCGAACATTTTCACTCATTTGCTTGAGTTACACTTAAAATAATGATGATAGCCCATGATTCTAACCTCTTGGTTGGTGTTGCTTTGGATGTACAACGGGTCCATTATTTGCTTTCCCATCATGGATAAACATGAATGCAATGATGACTCAAGGGAGTAATGGAATGACACAGAAGTGCAATGAACCACTTTTCCTCCATTGTGTGAAAATCATGCATATATTTTGAGCCTTTCTATCTTTAAAAAGACACTGTGTCACCTCTCACCAAGCCAAATTATTAATTGTAATCTCCCACATTTGAACCCTAAACCTAAATACATCCAGATACCCTCCTTCTCCAATAGATCTCAATTCAAATCATTGTGGGGTAGGTGGAAGAACAAGCACTTCAATTATGTGTATGCTGATGTACGTAGATGGTGCTTTTATGTTGATATACAAGGTATATTTTGAATCAACCAATTAGGTTATGTCAAGTGTAGCCAACTAGCTGCATAGTGCTAAAGCTTCCAACAACATGTCAATGTCTGAAATGGCTTTACGAATTGGGAAGAAGGTAAATGGCCCCTCCACCTAACCATCAAATCAAACCCTAATTCCAGATAAGTAGAGGGAATCATCCTATACCAACCTGCCATGTTGAAACATTGGATTGAAGAGCAAAAACTTATGTTGGTGAGGATTGAGATTTCACTTAAAATGCAGACAAAAAGAAGACCAAATTGGCAAAGAGAAATGGTTGCATGGAAGGGACATGAGCACATTTGACATCTTAGTTATAAAAACATGAGAAAAGCAAGTTAATTCTTTATAGCAGAAAAAGAGATTGGGTGCATGTGAGGAATATGGGCATTTTTCTAATTGGACGGCGCAATAAACTAAGGCAAATGTTGGTGACATATGGACACAGTAAGATGTTATTTTGTTGGCATCAATTGGTTAATTCTAGTAGTGTAATTTTTCTTTTAGCTAGATTGAGTATGAAATGAGATGTTAACTAGATTGATTCAGGTTTTCGATATGCTCCCAAGTAATTATGAGTTCAAGTTTTTATGACATCTGTGTGTGTGATGATGGACCGATAAATTTTGTTTATTTCGTTTATTCAGATAATTGTTATAAAGTTTACGGAAAAAAAAAAGAGTTAAATCATAATACTCTACTGTTTTTAATTTAAATGCAATTTATTAGTCTAAATTTATGAATCACAGTTTAGGATTCAAATCTCATTACTGAAGATTTGTAACTTGCTTTCTAAGAAAAAAATAAACATATAATACAATAAATTAAAGAGTAATTAAAATAAATGAGGAAGAAAAAAAAAAAAAAAAAAAAAACCCTCCAATTTCAGCCCACCGCAAAGCGCGGAATTAAGTCTAGATTCACAGGAATCATCGACAAATTATTCAAGGCGATAAGGCGTTTCTCCCTTGCCAAAACGACGTCGCTGTCACCGGCATCGTTGGAATCTACTACAGTGGTATTTAAAAAGAAAGCTAACGGTCACATTTTTATTAATAACGAAGGAGCCATCCCCGTTACCTGCCGACAACCCTGAACTCTCTCACCGCCACACACAACTTTCCATTTTCCCACGTCTCCCTCCAAATATCCCAAAATTATTTGTAAATATTCAGTATATATATATTTCTGAATTTCTTTCAAACCAATTTCCCCTTTCGTTTAATTTGAAAATTTGGGGGAGTGGATTTGATGATTGTACGAGATATGCAAGCCAACCCACTGCAATGGAAAGCCTCGCCGGGACTCGGTGTCGGGCTTGAAACGACGTCTTCGTCGCCGTTACCGTCGTTTTCGCAGCTGTCGTTGGGGAACTTGTCCGGGGGGCACTTCTGTAAATAGCTTGAAAACCAGGGGTTTGTTTCTAGTGAAGGCTATGGAGGGCTCCAGGACGGCGAGCTTGAATGGGCACGCTGGGAATGCAGGTACTTAGCTGTGTTCTGAATTGCCCATCACCCATTGTAATTTTGCATGTAGCTTTGGCTCTGTGTTTTTGGATTTTTTTTTAAATTGGGTTTTTTGTTTGTTTGAATTTTTGGTAAATAGATAAAAATGCGAGCTTGCTGTCTTCGGTTGGAAATTCAACCAACATTCAGTGGCATGAGTGTTCATTGAACAAAAATGACAGGCAAAAGTTACTTAAACAAAAAGGGTGCGTGATATGGATCACTGGTCTCAGCGGCTCAGGTTGGTTTTTTTTTATTATTATTTTTATATTTAAATTTATTTTTAATTCAAAGTTGTATCTATATATAAACTCTTCATGCTAATTTGTGGTTGTTGAAATTATTTATGTCAGAGATATGTGACATGTTTTATCTTGTTAAACTGTGAATTCTGATATGCTTTCATTTGGATCAACGGTTCTGATTCATAGCCTGACAACATCCATAACCCATCAGTGATGGGTTATGGATGTTGCATCAGGCTATGTGCCAAGAGAAAATTACTGATTGATTAGTTATATATTATTTATTTCGTTTGTTAGGGAAGAGCACTGTGGCTTGTGCTTTGGGTGGGGGTTTGTACCGCAGGGGAAAGCTGTCATACGTTCTTGATGGAGACAATGTCAGGCATGGCTTGAACCGTGACCTTAGTTTTAAAGCAGAAGATCGTGCAGAGAACATTCGGAGAATTGGTAGGTGTTTGCCTTAGATTAATCACTTTTGGTAATTAATAACGGTGTTCTGCTTCATTATATATATTCATGAAAGCATTGGCTTTGTTTTTGTATTCAGGGGAGGTGGCGAAATTGTTTGCAGATGCTGGAGTTATCTGTATTGCTAGCCTGATTTCTCCTTACAGAAGAGATCGCGATGCCTGTCGTGCAATGCTACCTGCTGGAGATTTTATTGAGGTTGGTACTCCATTGCTTCTCAATCTTTATGACTGCTTGCTTTTCAAGTTTCAATTCTGAGCTTTGTGTAAATATTTAAAATACTTCCTGAAAAAAGAGATTAGCTATAAAGAGAACTTGTATTATGAAAGGTGTTCATGGACGTTCCACTCCAAGTTTGTGAGGCTAGAGACTCGAAGGGCCTATATAAGCTTGCACGTGCAGGCAAGATCAAAGGTATCTGCAAACTACTATTTTGGTTTTTGGTTACTGAATTTACTTTGTATTTTGCCTTTCAACAGCCTGCTTAATGGTACTGTTGCTCCTAAAATCTTTATAGTTTTTTTTTTCAATACGATCTGATCATGGTTGTTTTAAATTTTGTCTAAACAATCACTTGCAAAATTCTTAATTTTCGATCTTCTGTTGTATGCAAAACCTGTGGATGTGGGTGTGTCTGTGTGGATCTTCTTCCTTAGTTCTTTGACATGCATATTTGTTGACGTTGGTATATTTTGGCATATCGTATATGAACCCTTAATTGCACTCTGATTACTAATTAAATCCTGGAAAATTTGTATGTTGCAAATTTTGGAATGTATATAAGCCAATCCCACTCCATATTCAAAAGCACTGAATATTTTCCTTCAGCATTGCAACCAGGATTTATTGTTGAAATATTGTCTTTTGCTTTGTTAGTTTCTAGTCCAGACGCCTCTGCCTATCTCTCTCTCTCTCTCTCTCTCTCTCTCGGGTTGAACTTTCTAGTCTAGAATGCTGGTTGTTACTTATACTATGTGCATCTGAAATTGCAGGTTTTACTGGGATTGATGATCCATATGAGCCACCATTAAATTGTGAGGTATGTATACTATCTAGAGAAAATCAGAATACATCTTTTAGTTACTGCAGATATCATATATACATAGATGCTTCTCTTGATAAAGAGGAATATGCATTGTGTCATGAAGCTAGGGCATATAAACTTAAAAACAAAGCAGTTAATCCTGTTAGTTACCAATAAATTTGAACCAATTTACTCCTGCACTAGAAAACAACCCTGTAAAAGGCCAGTGCCCTGTATTGGTCTTGTGATGTCACTGTAGGGGTTGGGAGAATTGGTCTTATTGATCAAAAACATGATGTAGGATTTTTTGAAATTTAAATTTGAGATATATTAGTTACTTTAAACTGCACCACACACCATTTCATTTGCATTTGTTTGATTAGCTTATAGGAATATAGTGCAGAATGGAATGAAAGATGATCTGATGTATACCGGGGTCACATGTAAGAGTAGCTGCAGTTGCGTGTAGTCGTAACTCACCTATTGTTACATATTACTTTTGCCTGTCGTTGCTTGATGTTACTGTTCTATTCAGTGAAAAGTAAAGGTCTCATTGTTTCGTCATCCTCTATCCGCCTTCAGATAGTATTAACACATGAAGAAGGAGTGTGTGCTTCCCCATGTGAGATGGCCGAAGAAGTGATTTCTTACTTGGAAGATAAGGGGTTCCTCGAGGCATAGGAAGTTTGAACCCTTGCTGGAACCATCAAAACTTTGAGCTATACCACAAATGCAGTGCAGATAGCTTTTGGTGCCCGAAGTGGATACCATGCATGCCTCACCAGATAAGAGACAACAGATGCAAAAATCACCTGCTCTGATAACAAGCTGTGATTTTGCCTTGTCCAACAGGAGAGAACTGATGCAATATTCACCTACTGAAAAGCATTAGTTAATTGATTGATTAATTTATGCCACATATTTCTATTTCGTCTTCATTCTTCTTCTTCTAGCAAGTAGCTCTGTACTTATTTGATGTTATTTTGAACTGTGCTCTCATTGTAAATAGAGAAGTGGAGAATTGGTAGGTCAGATTCTTTCATGGCTTCTCTTTGTGCATGCATTTGCTAATTATTCTATGCCCAAATTTGGGGTATGCAAACCAACAAGCTGGAAAGAGACTAACATATATAATGATATAGAATCAATAAAATAACGATATCAGTAAAATTTTGATAGAAATAATGAAAATTAAATGAAAAACATGAAAGTTTTGAACGAATCAAGTTTCTACTATATTGATTAAGGGCTGGTTTGGGAGTGATTCTAGATAGGCTATAATCATTTTTGGGGAGAAACACCTCTTAGTGATTTTAAGTGATTTTGGGGAGATGCACATGGGAGGTGCTTCTCCATAAAATCACTTAAAAATCCAAAAACTCAATAATTAATTGATAAGGAATTGATCTCCAACGATATCTAAAAATGATTAGGCAAAAAGAGAGGTATTTAGAATACCTCATTTATTTTTTTACAAATTTATAAATAAACTCAATCCTAGACATGTATTTATAAAAAAACTCAAACACTATTTAAACATAGAAACACACCCCAAAATCAACACCAAAGTCAACAATTGTATATTTTTTGGGTGTGTTTATAAATGGGTTTTGAGTGTGTGTAATGATGAGTTTTGGGTGTGTTTATAAAGTGTTTTGGGTGTTGGGGTTTTTTTTTATAATTTTCAGCTCCCATTTTGGTGTTTTTTAGTTTTTTTTTTTTTTTTTCTTTCTGGTAATACGTGAATTCGATCGGTACTCGAACATTAGACATGCTAACTTTTAGTTATATCACAAAGTCAACAAATTTAGGAATCCGGCAGAAAACCTTGTCAAGTTATTATATTTATAGTTTGCACATGATTTTCGCCCAAGAGGACTCTAGCTCAGTTAATATTGGTTAGCTCTTCCTAGATTTGTTGGTAAAAGTATTTTGATTAGTTAAAGAAAAGCTATAAAAACACTATATATAAGATAAATGTAATTTGAATACTTTACTAATTGACCTAAAAATGCATACATAGATACTTACACAATCAATCATTTTAAAATATTGTTAATAAGTTCAATAAAGCAATGATTTAATTACATAATATCATATAAATGTTGCAATGAACTTTGTTTATGGATCTTGGCATCAATTATCTTTCATTGCATAAAAGGAAAAGAATGAATATTTATCTGCAAAAGGTTATTTTCGTATATGTGAGATGTTTGGCTTCTTCACCAATGGGGCGTTAGTTGGATTAGCTCAGGCTTTTAGTCTGGTGTGCTCTCAAGTGGTTTTGAGTTCAAACTCCTATAGTATTGCATGTGTGAATTTTCCCCTTCTTATTTTTGACCCAAAAAAAAGAAAGAAAGAAAAAAAAAAGATGTTTAGCTTCTTCTTGCCTGTGAATGGTTCAAGATTTTGGGGCATTTGGGATGCAATTCAATTCAATTAGTTAACACATAAAAACAGAGGTCCGGCTAATTTTTTTTTAAATAAATAAAACAGAGGTATTTTTAAATACCTCATTTTGTTCAGAATTGGATGGAGGGTTTGGATTCGAGGTGTGCTACGAACTGATGACCTGTTGGATATGAAGATATGACAAATCCACTAGGCCACCAGAGACCAGCGTTGAAAGTTTTTATGTTATTTTATTTATACAATGTCATATACTGTAACATTTCTGCTACTTTTACTTGGATTCGTTCCCAATCAAATCCAAGACCTATTTTGAAATTCTAAATCAGGAAAAAGGAAAGGGGAAAACTCCAATAAATCAGGAAAAAAAAAATAAAGGTATTTTAGAATACCTCATTTATTGTAACCTTTCTGGTAGTTTTACATCAATTTGATACCAGTCGAACCCAAGACCTGTTGAGCTTTAAATGTAATTTAAAGCCAACAAGTTATAAGGGGTACTGGTGATAGAACCTTTTAAGTTAATATATTTAAGTCTTTAGAACATCTCATTCATGGCGTCAATAATCCAAAAGCATTTGACAAGTTTTTTGGAATTGCTCTTACATGGTTTAGTCATTTTGGGGGCATAACATGACATGACTCGGTTCACCTGTTGAGTAGAAGCCCACACTAGATCAAGAAAAAGGAGAGGGAAAAAATTAGAAAACTCTCTACTCACCCATCGCCTAGCCTCCCCAAGCTTTAGATGTAACACAAAATCAACAAGGTACAAGGAGTACTGGTGGTAGAACCTATGAAGTTACTTTGATACAATGTAACACTTTGGATTAATCAATCACTTAAAATTAATGTATTGTTAATCGTCCAGTCAGGAAATTATTTAAGTACATGATAATATATAAATATTGTATTAAGTTGTTTCTGAATCTCACTCATTAATCGTATTCCTTTCATTGTGTAAAAGAAAATAATGAATATTCATTTTAAAAAGATTATTTTCATAAATGTGAGATCTTGAGCTCACAATCTTATGAATTTTGCTCGTATATATCTTTAAAAAAACAGAAAAAACATGAATTTTCACCAAATATTTTTCTTGTTAGAAAAAGGACTCTTACTGCAAAACCTAACCAAAGAATCTTGAACTATTTATTTCTGGATTTTTGCCCAAAGGGGGCTATTAATTGGTTCATGTAAATTCAAGTAGTTTAGATTTTTTTATTTTAAATTTAAAAAAAAAGTGAAATAAAAACAGAGGTATTTTAGAATACCTCATAATTTTTTGTAACCTCTCTCTTCTTCTCTCTCTCTGCCAGTCTCGAACCAGGGACCTGATGGGTTTTTGACTTGGACCACAAATCCAACAGGCTACTTGAGACCAGCGGTTGTCCTCCGTTAATATTCGTTTTTATCCGCTCAATCAATGAGGGCAATCTCTTACGGGCAAATTGGCTGTTGGGTATTAAACTATTCGTTTTAGAGCTTGTATTTTCTTTTGCTAATTAATTAAAAACACATTAAAAAAGTGAGTGTGCATGATGGAGATAAATTGGGAAAGCAACCAGCTTTGTTTGTTAACTAATCTATTAGATTTGTAATCCTTTTTTCTAAAAGGAAACTTGCGTGCAAAGGACCCACTAGTGTAGTGGTTTGGAGTAATTGCTCTTCTAAGAAAGATTCTGGGTTTGAGTTATAACATCTGTGTAATATGTGTGAGTTTAATATATTATCGCCGCTTTCAATAGGAAATGTCAAAAAAATAAAAAAGGAACCTTGCATTAATATTTTATTAATGATTATTTGAGTTATAATTTTTGTTAGCTATATGTAATATTCATTTATTGAAGTAATATATATTTATATTTACAAAGCTATTTTTGTTAGAAAATACAAGTATATAAAACATCTAAGTATTCAATAATTACATGTTTATAGCTAAATATTCCTAATTGAGTCATGCCTAATTTGTTTTAGAGGAAATTTTAACTTAAATTATAAATTATTTATTACAAAATCTATATTATATAAGAGGAGAGATAAAAATTTGGGAGGGCTATGGCCACTCCAGGCCTTAGAGTGGCTCCGCCGCTATGTTGAAGTATCATATTGATGGAGAGCTTCTTCTTGTTTTTGTTTTTTTTTTTGGGTGGACATATAAAAAGTTGTTTCATAAACCTTCCATCATAATTTGGTTAACATGAAGATCATATACGTACATCAAATCTTCTTTTATTGACTAAATCCAATCTTCTTTATTTTTGTGTACTAGGAGATCCGTATAAAGATGGTCGTCAAATCTCATCATAACTTACCCAAATAAAGATAGTTTAGAAAAGGGACGAAAATCCTATAAAATCCTATACTTACCCAAAACGATGGATGGTTTTATTTTCAATATTATAGCAGGAAATCCTGTTCTTACTATATAATCTTGCCATGTACATATAAATACATACAATGCATGATCTGCTTTAAGCTCATGTCACTGCTGCTTTGGGTATAGCAATCAACATACAATGAAGTTTTGGGGCAAAAGCAATCTGCTTGTGCTGTTTTGCACTGTTCTTTTTGCAGGTTTGCTTTTCATCCTTCTATGAAAAACAACAAAATTGAGTTTTAGCATTATGATTGTTGTAAGAAGTAGAACAATAAAGTGAAACTACTTTGTTTCTTTAAAATTTGTGTCAATAGTGAGTGACAATCATCTTGTCAATCAATTTTAGAGGTGTCAAATAAGTATGACCAACATGATTGATATGATAAAAAGGAAAGAACATGTCATGATTTGGCAAGCTATGTCATGCCACACCAAGGCACACATATAGATCATGTTGCCCTAAGCAAGGCATCCATACCTATAATGACCGTGTTGGGCCATCATATGTGGTGACTCAAGACACGGTATAACGATGGTATTGATAATATTAGCATGTGTTTCAGTTTTATTTCTCAATTCCTCAAACAAAATAATCCAATTATAGTTTAAAAAAAACTTATCAAAGCATATGCATGTTGTAGAACACGAACTAAACAATTGCCTTGCAGGGTTTCAAGTAAATGCCTTATCCTATGATTACACCGCCAGTATTGAGGTAATAAGCTTTCCTGCAATTAATTATAATCGTATAATTTGCAAATTGTTAAACTTAGTTATGTTTTTACAGAGAAAACTCCATTAAATCTAAAATTTCTTTAATCTTTTTGTTTTTTGTTTTTTGTTTTTCCAGTGTTTGGCAAAACCTCACAAACCACAATATAATGGAGGGATCATTGTAAACCCTGAACTAAATCATGGCTTGAACGGATGGTCTAGTTTTGGCAATGCAAAAATACAACACAGAGAATCTGAAGGCAACAGATTCATTGTGGCTCATGGCAGACAACAATCATATGACAGTATTTCTCAGAAGACCTACCTGCAAAGCAACAAGTTCTATACATTCTCTGGTACATAATTTCATCACTTTTCTTCCCCATTCTAATTAATCAGTAATGGATTAATAATTGTAACTGTGTATTTGGTTTGTGTTGATGCAGCTTGGATACAAGTGAGCAGTGGTAGTGTTCCAGTAACAGCTATTTTCAAGACTAGTAGTGGATTCATACACGCTGGTGCAATTGTGGCTGAATCCAATTGCTGGTCTATGCTCAAGGGTGGCCTAACTGTCGATGCCTCAGGCCCTGCCGAGCTCTATTTCGAGGTATTTGTTTTTAATTATTTCATGAAGAATCATAAAACTATTTTGACCACATTTACTCGTATTTCTTTTGTTAATCATACATTAGACTTGCAATCAACCGGGCTAATCCAGTTTGAATCACCCGAATAAGGAACATGGGCTTATATTTCTTTTTCTCTTTTGTTGTTACAACACATGCATCACTTTCAAAGAAAGTGATTTCCCCCTAAATAATCAAGGCCAAACGGGTACTTAGTATGTTCAATCTTTTATAGTTAACAATTGTTAAACTCTTAATTCAGAGCAAGAACACATCTGTTGAGATCTGGGTTGATAGCATCTCGTTGCAACCATTCACTGAAAAGCAATGGAAGTCTCATCAACATCAAAGCATCACAAAGGTGAGTTTGATCAGGCCATATAATTCATCCAAAACTAATTTGGCCAAAGTGAAAAAAAGCTAACTATACACTTTTTTTTGCAGACTCGAAAGAGCAATGTGCAGGTTCAAGCAGTTGATGAACAAGGCAAACCACTAGCCAACGCAACAATCATCATCCAACAAAAGGCCCCAGGCTTCCCTTTTGGTGTTGCCATCAACAAGAACATCCTCACCAACACAGCCTACCAAAACTGGTTCACTTCAAGGCCCTTCACCGTCACGACATTTGAAGACGAAATGAAATGGTACAGCACAGAGTCGTCTCAGGGCCATGAAGACTACTCTGCCGCCGATGCCCTGCTTCAGTTTGCAAAGCAGCACAACATTGGAGTCAGAGGACACAACGTGTTCTGGGACGACCCCCGCTACCAACCTGGTTGGCTCAACTCACTCTCCGGCCAACAGCTCTCTGATGCAGCCTCCAAGAGGCTGAATTCTATCATGGGGAGATACAAGGGACAAGTTATAGCTTGGGATGTTTGCAATGAAAACTTGCACTTCAACTTCTTTGAGAGTAAGATTGGTGCATCTGCTTCAGCCATGTTCTATAATTGGGCTCTTAAAGCTGATGGAGCAACCACATTGTTCATGAATGAGTATAACACCATTGAGGAGAGTGGAGATGGAGATTCGATCCCAGCTAAGTACCTTCAAAAGCTGAGAGACATTCAAGCCTTTCCGGGTAACAATAATGCGAAGATGGCGATTGGACTTGAGTCACATTTCACCACTCCAAACATTCCCTACATAAGATCTTCTATTGATACTCTTGCTGCTGCAAAAGTTCCTATTTGGATTACAGAATTGGACGTTACAAGCGGCCCCAATCAGGTAAGATAATGCGCCTCTCCACCTACTGCCAATTATTGGTTTTGTGTCGGATACCTTAAATTTGATATGGTCACGTCACATGTGAAGGGGCATGTTTGATTATGATAAAAATCCCACTTCTTATAATTTGCTAATATTTTTTGGGTTATATGGGCAGGCATCATACTTGGAGCAAATTCTAAGGGAGGTCCATGCACACCCTCAGATTCAAGGCATTGTTATTTGGTCTGCTTGGAAGCCTCAGGGATGTTACAGAATGTGTTTGACAGACAACAACTTCAAAAACCTGCCTACTGGTGATGTTGTTGACAAGCTCATACATGAATTTGGTTTGACTTCCGGCCTGGCTTCTGGCATGACGGACCCTAATGGTTTTTTCGAGGCCTCCCTTTTCCAGGGCGACTACGAAGTGAAAATCACTAACCCTTCTGTGGCAAACTCCTCCTCAGTTCAGGGTTTGAATGTGGGACCAACTACTGAGTCCCAGCAACAATTGCTGCTCCAAGTTTCTGCTTGAGTTTTTGTTCACTTGGGTGTTTTGTTCTCATTTTGATGGAAGACCAATTTTAAGTGTAGGAAGATTGGGGGTGTATTCAATTAAGATTTTAATAAATTGTAATTACAAAATTATAATGTAATGGATTACAAGATTTTAATATATTGAAATTACAAGATTTTACTTATGATTTTAATAGATTGTAATTTCACTTAGGACTCTTTTGTATTCTTCGAAATAGATTTGCCCAGTGTAATTGGATTTGGGTTAGCCATGTTCGCCCAACCCATGACCACTCCCAGTTTTTGTCAAGACTTGACAAAAAATGGGAGTGGTCATGGGTTGGGCGAACATGGCTAACCCAAATCTTTTTTTTAGCTGCTTGTGGCATAATCTCATATTTAGTTTGCTTGTAGTTTTTCGGGCAATTGATACTTTCGCACTTCACATTTATCTCTTCTCACCACCACCCTAATCTTCTCATCCTCTACCCACTTCACTTGAAATTCCATACCAACTCTCACGGCAATTTTTAGAATCTTTTCAACAAGTTTCTCATTCATAACTTCCCTTGGGGGTCTGGCTCTATGCCCCCCAAGGAGTTAGTTTGCTGGGCTAGGTGATTTGACGTTCCAGTCTGAAGATGTATTTATTTGTTTTTTATGCCTAGTATGGTGTAGTTTTTTCAGTTAGTTATATGCTATGGTGTGTTAGTGGTTCTTTTTAGATTGGTTCTTGCAGGGGACAGTGCGTGGCGTGGGTTATTATGGTATTTCATGAATGAAGTATTCAGTTCAAAATAATAATAAAAAATTGGTCCCCAAACAGTGGCCATGTGAGCAAAGGCACATCACAAATGCCTTCCAATGTGGAATTCTGGCGACAATGTGTCAAGAACCCACCAACATTCACGGTGTCTATTCATCTTCTCCCAAAGGAAAAATAGAAAGAACTTAAGAATCAGGCATAGGAGTGTGAGATTTGTTATGAGATTTGGTATTTATATTACCTACTTAAAAGTCTCACACAATACACCATTTAATGAAATACTTCAAAATCGATAAGTTTTTAAGTACCATAGTACTTTTATTGGCTATTTAAAACTCATAATTGAATACCAACGTACTTTTATTGACGACTTAAAAATCCTAATTGAATATCACTGAACTTTTAAGCTTCAAAACAATATATTAAATCCCAATTGAATATACTCTGAAAAGTTTTGTTTGAGAGCGGCTTTAGAAATTCTACAACTTTTGTTATGAATAACTCTTTACACGTTATATTGAGATTAATTGGGGATGTAATCTGTGCTTATTGTATGCCATAATGAAATAATCTCCAATCCAAATGGCCTCCAAATGGCCTGTCCTCAATCCCTCAATCTTTTTTCTTGGGTTGTGGCATCTCTGTTTCTTTTTTTTTTTTTTTTTTTTTTTTTTTTTTTTTATTTTTTTTATAGGGAGGGGAATTCAAACTTGGGTGCAGAGTGGTGAGCACTTTGCACTAACCAACTTGGTTAAGCCCATGTCTGCGACATCTTTTTTGTTAAGCTGCAAAATATTAAGTAAACTTTTGATAAAAATATAAATAGATTAAACATTAGAAGACAACAACCCTTGCCTCCCTTTGCTATTTGCCATAGCAAATGAGTGGAAATGCTCTTACACATGGAAAAGAATTCTTCATGCGCGAAATACTTTAAAATAGGGATTTAGGCTGAAAACAAACACCAAACTGTGGTGATTTTACAAATTGATATAATGGTCATTTTATTTTTTAAAAAAGTATAATGGGTGTGAAGAGATATGAATTGGGTGTAAACACTTTGTGTTTTTTTTTTTTTGGTTATAATTTTTTATACAAGTGATAATTTACTACAAATTAACATACTCAAAGGAAGGGTGTAAACATAATTCACCTTGCACAATAAATTTTAAATTACTATAAAAAATTTATTATTTAATGTGGTGGCAAGCTCATGATAAAAGTCAAGCAGATCAAAGCAAAAAGAAAAACCAAGCAAATGATATGGATTTGATTCAAAATTAGGTGCAACGGGGCAAGCTCATTGCCCTAGCCACCTAGTCTAACCCACACGTCCAAGATTAATATGCTCTAAGGGCCAGTTTGGTATTGCTGTGCTGTAAAAATAATCGCTGTCAGATTTGCTGTGAGAGAAATCAGCTGTGAGAGAAAGCAGTTTGACGTTTGGTAAAATTTTTGTTAAAAGTATTGTTGGTATTGATTTTACACATAATCAGAAAATGATTGCTGCATAATTATTAAACCCAACACCTCTTCGAAACTGATTCCTACATAATCAGAAAATGAAAGCACCTCATTAGTTGCTTTCCCTTATAGCTTTCTCTCACAGCAATTTTTAATAATAAGTGATTTTTTCGCAATTTACCAAACGGGTTGGGCTTCTCAAAATTTTTTAAAAATCACTTATCACCCCAAATAAGCAATGCCAAACTGGCACTAAATTAGTTTCACTTAACTTTGTTGATATTGACACTCTAAAATAGTCATATGCAATCCTTAAATAAATAATAATAATAATAAACGAAGGAGTACATGATATTTTTTGCAATGTTCGCTAATTGTATTTTAAGCTGCAAAATATTAAGTAAACTAAAAATATATATAAATTAAACATATTAGACAAAAACAGAGGTTATTTTAGAATACCTCATATTGTTTCATATTTTTCTTCTTCATTTTCCACTTCATGATTGTGCCAATCGAACCCAGGACCCGTTGGAGATTGTGTGGATCACAAAACCACGGGGCCGGGAAGATCGGCATTCTATTTCCTTTAAGTCAACTTATTTAACTCTTACATCTAAACGAAATTCATTATGCGCGAAATAATATAAAATAGGGGTCAGGCTGAAAACTAAATGGAGCAAAAGGGCTCTCTGGCTCCTGTTTCTGTTTATTTATGGACATTGACCAATAAAATTTAAAGTCCAAATCCACATCATAGGCCGGAATTTACTCACTGTGGTAATTTTACAAATAGATTTAATGGTATTAAAAAAAAAAGATAGTGGGTGTTGAGAGAGAGACATGAATTGGGCGTAAACATTCACCTTTCTTCATTTTTATACAAACGATCATCCACCTTAAATTAATTTAATCTAAAGTGGGGGATTCGAACTTGGATGTAAGAAGGCGGGAGCGGGCTTATTGTCTTGACCAACTGACCTAACTAACCAACGTCTACTGCCTTCCTTGGTTATTATGCTTTAAAATAGTTTCATTTAAGGGAGATTTTGACACTACAAAATACTCATAAGCACTCCCTTAAAAAATAAAATTAATAATAAAGGAAGAATAGCAGAATGCTTATTTATGAGTATTAATAACAATTTCTTTTTATTTAAAAATACCAGAACGATCCAATTTCCATAAATATATAGGTTTGGATCCTTCATAATTATCTCGAGATTCAGATGAGTATTTCATAGGATAACTTACGGAATCACTTCATACGTAGTCCACAAGTCATTGGCAGTTATATTAGGAAATTTTGGACAGTCCAAATTCAACTACAATAAAATTGGTTTAATTATAAATACAAATTTTAGTCCGATGAATATGTGATAGTACAATGCATAAAAATTTTTTTTTTTTTTTTCTTTTTTTTTTATCATTTATTCTTTGGGTATCCGTTTCATATCCTTTATTTACTGCCAATCTAGCCATGCATGTTGATTGCCTTTTAAATCTCTCTCTAAAAATACAATGCATAGTTCTTTTGGTCAAGAAAATACAATGCCTATATATAATCTCCTTTATCTACCAACTCTCTCTCTCTCTCTGGGTTCATAGCAAACAACACACAATGAAGATTTTGAGACAAAGCTTTCTGCTTCTGGTGTTATGTACTTTTATTTTTGCAGGTTTGTTCCTTTTCTTTTTCCGTTTTGGTTGCACTCGAAATAAGCATGCTTAATGTGAAAAGCTTGTGAGAGATTTGACTGGTTGACTAATGACTGGTTTACATGTTTGTATTATTTTCTTTTGATTTTCTTCACCTTCCAAAATGGTGTGCAGGGTTTGAAGTGAGGGCATTAACCTACGATTACTCAGCCAGTATTGAGGCAAGCTACATTGCATTTCTTTCCTTTTGTTATGTTTAAAGAGAAAGAAAAAAATGTAATAAATCTAAATTGTTTCCATATTTTTCCTTTTTTTGTTCTTCAGTGTTTGGCAACTCCTCTCAGACCTCAATACGACGGAGGCATCATTGTAAATCCAGAACTAAACCATAGCTTAGAAGGATGGTCTTCTTTCGGCGAAGCAAAATTGCAACACAGAGAATCATCAGAAGGCAACAAGTTTGTTGTGGCTCACAGCCGAAATCAATCGCATGACAGTATTTCTCAGAAGATTAACTTGGAAAGTGACAAGCTCTATACATTTTCCGGTACATAATTCATTTCCGTTTTCCCGAAATTAATTTTTATTTATAACAATAACTAGTTAGATGATTATTGCCTAATGCAACTATAATTTGTGTTTGATGCAGCTTGGATACAGGTAAGTAATGGTAGTGCTCCAGTAACAGCTATTTTCAAGACTAGTAGTGGGTTCATACATGCTGGTGCAGTTGTTGCAGAACCCAAATGCTGGTCCTTGCTCAAGGGTGGCCTCACTGTCAATGCCTCGGGTCCTGCTGAGTTATATTTTGAGGTAATACTAACATCAACAAAAGTTGAGTGCAATGTTCTGTTGTTAGACTGTATGAACTTACGTTGCGCGAAACTATAAAACAAGGTTCATAGATATGTGATATATATATATATATTTCCTAATTTAAGCGAAACTTTGCAGAGCAATGACACATCTGTTGAGATTTGGGTTGATAGCATCTCATTGCAACCATTCACCGAAGAGGAATGGAAGTCTCATCAAGACCAAAGCATTGCAAAGGTGAGTCTGATCGTTGAAGGTTTGTCGATGATGATATATGTAGTTTCGATAGGGTTTCTTTTTAAGGAGACAAACTA